ATAAGAAAATTATATTTTAAAAAGAAGTTTAAAGGAAAAAAAGTACCAATTAATGACATTGTGTCAGAACACAGCAAAAATGAAGAAGTGCTTTTACATTTTTGTTCAAACTTTAAAGTAAGATTACCCTTTGAAAAGTGTGATACAAATCGTATAAACTATTTGGTCTTGGGGGGACCGTTGCAAACTAGTGTCATTAAACTTAATCTTTGGTTTTGAGGGGAATTAAATATTCTCAGGACCCCTATCGACCCCTGAAGTTATGACTTCTGAAGATCTCCCATGTGTAGATTCACTCGGTTGAAAAATGTAATTGTAAAATTGAAAGTTTTGTAATTTACACATCTGAAATTAAAGGTATAGTAGTTTTTTAAAAAGTATTTTAATAGCTAAAATCAATGTCATTATTAATAAATATGATCTCATTGGTGTAAAATTAGCTCTGCCAATGTTCTGACGGGTAAGTCCATGGTGGCCTCCATGTCGTTCCGCCATCTTGAAAAAACTATAATAGCGGAGAGGTACAAAAAGCACTAGGCTACCTCAACGCGTTTCTACAACACGTTTTCGTTCAGAGCCGGCTGACTGAAACCATCTGAAAGGGGCACAAGGAGGTCAGTGAGAGGCGCTTGTCACTCCCCCGGCAAATTTGAAAGATTGCACAGCACTTCATAATACAATCCCATAATAAAGCTTAAAAAACATTATTTAAAGTGAAACGTGTCCGGCAAATTCAAAACTAGGGTAAATATCGGGATAGCTTTTCCCAGGTGGATAGAGCTAATGAAGGAGAAGTTGCCTGCTTTCTTCTCGACAGGTAAGTCAATGTTACGGTCTAAATTACAAGCTTTTTCATTCCGTGGTTGTGCAATTCATTAAATAGGCAGCATAGCGGTAGAACGTGTATAGTTAAACTCGATGAAGTGCTATTGGATGACATGTCGTAGCTTCTTGGCACATAACGGTTACCGTAGTTGCAACACGCATTTGAAAAAGCGTGGCGCTAGAGAGCACTATGCGTTTGAATCGAGGAGGTCAAAGGGGGCATGCTTTCTGCTATAGTCTCATCAGCTCACCCCAAAGTCTGTTCATGCGGCCAACAGACAGCCTGTCGCATCAACAAATGCTAGCATTTGAAAATTCTACATATATTTTGAGTAGATAACCGATAGTATATTCTCAGTGAAGGGTTTCACCCTGTGTGCTTCCACAATGAATAAGGATAGTTTGAGAGATGCAAGAAAAGTAAATATGATATATCTTATACGTACAATAGGTCATAGCTACAGCAGAAAAAGTAAGATCATACTTTGAATTAAGACGAGTAAAATTAAAATATTCGCTCAAGACAAACTTTACTTATGCAGCGTCTCTGAAAATGTGTGGTGATTTTCTAAATGATACAACTTAATCTAAATAAGAGCAATGTAGAGTCCTGGGATTTCTTTTAAAACAAAAACATTGTGACAAACTTTGACAACATGTTTCATGTCGCATGCTATTTGAAATAAGATCTAAGATGCCAAAGGACAGTTCTTGATTTATAACATTTTTATTTGATTTTTGAACAAACGATGTTTAGTAAAAATAATATCTTTATGCAAATCATTTATATCATACAGAAGTCTTCTAAGAAGATAAATAGAAGATATGATTTTAATAAAACTTTAAAGATTTGATTTAGACAGTCTTTTAATTTTAAAAGATCTAATTTAAACTTTTAAGATTATACTTTTAAATGAATTTAATTTGAATAAACCTATAAAAAGCAGACTAGCATTGCATACGCTGTGACATAATTGTGCCCCAGAGGCTCATCTGGCATGTAACTCCTCCGTCTCTGTGCGGGTCTGAAGCTTCATCTCACCCTGTAGCTTATCACTGAAGGATCTGGGAGGGCTTTGTTTGTTTATCACAACTTACACTATTTGCTTTTTGAATTGTTTTTTATCATTGCATAGATCTAGATTCTACTACTTCTTCAGTTCTATGAAAATGTAAGGAGTTTTTTTTATAATTATAGATGTAATTTATATATATATTTATATTTATAAATATATTAATTAAGATAAAACTATGTTTAATTTGTATGAATACATTTTAGTAGCATATGTGTTATTATTCATTGAGTTATATACTTTATTTATAATAATTTAATTTTAAAATAGAGATTTTATGGAGCCGCAAAACACCTTAGAAATTATATTAAATTACTTATTTTTATTTATTTTGAAAATGTAAAAATGCAGCTTTCAGGTGTACACGGTAGAATATGCTGTTACAGTACAAAAATCATTATGGCTATATTAATAAAAATTATACTTTAGGTCACTGTTAAACAAAATCCTTACAGTAATCTTCTAAAAGATAAATAGAAGATACGAATGTATTAAAACTATAAAGATTTCATTTAAACCATCTTTTCATTTTAAAATATTTAAACTTTTACGATTATGATTAAATAAAAATAAAAATAAATAAATAAATAAAAAATATAGTCAAGTTTTTCCACGATGTAGCATATTTGTTTTATGAATTAATTTAATTTAAAATATCTTGTATTTTTAAAATATATAATTTAAACTTTTAATGATTATACTATGAAATAAGATTAACACTAATCGAACACATGCAATGTCTCGTTCTGACCGCTGAAAAGACACACACACACACACACACACACACACACACACACACAGACAATGCATGCCTGTCAAGCGAGGGGGAGAGAGAATTACTTGTGGGATCTTTTCAACTTTAAATGTATGGACATCTTAGGAACTACTTCGTCAACCGGCTGAAAAAGTAAGATGATTTTATTTTTGACACCAGTTCATAACCTGTATGTATTCTTCTAATCTATAAAACATGTCGGATGATTTTTATCTAAAATAATAACTTTAGTTATTTATTTAAAAAATGAACGATAAAAGCATTTTATTAATATACTTTTAAATGAAAAATGTTTTTCAACTTAAGTTAGTGTGAAATAATATATTTGTAAATTACTAGATGTAAATTTTAACCATTTCATTTATATAGAGCATGATGTTTTTCAACTTTAGTGTGAAATATATGATACATATTGTCCTCACTTGGAGGGGTATCATGTAACACACACACACACACACACACAGATAAGCGTGCGTCCCGGGCCCCTGTGACTTAGAGGTTTTCAGGATTCAGAGAGGTCTAAAGTAATTTATTGCCGATGATATCACCCATTTCTTACACATACACACACACACACACACAGATACACACCACTCCGGTCAAGCGTGGGGGAGAGAGAGAATCACTGGGGGACAACTTTAAACTCATCTTTTACATCTTTTGTAAACCATTCATATTGTATGGACATCTTAGGAACTACTTCTTCAACTCGGTGAAAAAGTAAGATGGTTTTATTTTGTGAACCGTTAGCAACCTGTATGTTTTCTTCTAATCTATAGAACATGCCGGATGATTTTTATCTAAAATAATTGGATCAGTACATTTAGTTATTTATTTTACAATGAATGAGAAAAGCATTTTATTTATTTGTTTATCTAGTTAGTTAGTTAGTTAGTTAGTTAGTTAGTTAGTTAAAACCTTTATTCATCCCCACAGGGGAAATTCAGATGTCCAGTTTTTTTTTTTTTTTTTATCTAAAATAATTGGATCAGTACATTTTAGTTATTTATTTTACAATGAATGATAAAAGCATTTTATTTATATACTTTTAAATGAACAATGTTGTTCAACTTTAGTTAGTGCACGATATTTTCTCACTTTCACATCCCCGCAAATTTATAGCCCCTGGTTCAGGAATGCGGAGGGTATCATGTAACACACACACAGACACACAGATGCAGATGCTTAGTGCGGTGACCATGGCTGTCATGAAAAAAGGCCGGTGAGAGAGAGAGTCACTCGGAGGAACATCTTTGGGGAACGTCTGATAAAGTAAGATCATTTTTATTTCATCGCTCTAAAACATGTTGAATGATTTCTGTTTTGAAATGATTGGTTCTGTTAGATATTTATTTTGAATGAACAATGTTATTTTGCCCAACTGTCACACAGACACAAACAGCCACACACACACACACACACACACACACACAGACACACTGCGATCTTTTTTAGTTAAACTATATATTTTATACACTTTTAAGAGAAGGATCTGCAATGTGGGAGCGTAATGTCTCAGACCTTTGCCAAAAACATCTGGCACCATCAAAGCCAAAACATCAGACAAACCAATGACATATTTATACCCCCTCGGTCAAAGGGTCAAATCATCCATCAAAACAACCTGTCAAAACTTTCTGTCAACCAAATGATCGAACGCTCATTAGGGCAAAGGTTAATCCATCAATCCCGGAAACGGGAAGGGCTAGGTCAAAGGTTAATCCATCAACCCCGGAAACCGGGAGGGGTAGGTCAAAGGTTAATCCATGACCCCGGAAACAGGAAGGGCAAGGGGAGGGGCAAGGTCAAAGGTCACCATCAATCATTTTGACACAAGCTGTAGGGTTATAACTACTCGCGTACCATGCTTGCGCAGACGTCACACGTCACCAGCTCATTTCATGCAGTGTTCGACAGACGTCAATCAACTACTACGCAATATGCTTACAATTTTTAAGCATTTTTAGTAATGTATGAATAAAGGCTGGAGATTTTCCTAGGCTGGACATCACTTTTGGCCAGTAAACATAGAATATTTTAGTTAATTATTTATTTAATTAAGTTTACTTCCCATTTATTTTTTCTATAAATCTTAAAATAATGAAAGTGCATTTTAACATTCTATTCACATGTTAAAATAAATCATTTTGTGAATATATTCTAATCAAAGTTAATGTATTTATTTTATTTCAAAGCATGCTTGTGTTGTACTAATTGTTTTGTGTTAGGTTGTGGCCTATTCAATTAAAATTCCAACTCAAGAATGAAGAAAAAATTGCCCAACCCTGGAGTTTATGTATTCAAGATTCCCTCCTTCACTCGTATACCTCCTCTTTCTCGGCTTTCTGCAGATCTCTCCACTCCTCTGTTAGATGACTGAAGTCCACCTTATTCATCTGCACCCTCACATCCCCAATAGCATCATGTTTGGAGAAACGGTCAAAGTCATACACTGTCATGACCAGCGTCTTTCCACCAAGCTCTGCATATGGAACCTGCAGATAGAATGTCAGAGTCTCATAAGTTTCTGATACTATTTTAATGCAATTAAATGCATCATTGTCCCCATAGCACATTTGTATGCTGTGACCTTTCTAACATTCCTTCCATGAAGGATTTTTAGTGTAAGTGGATTTTAAGAGGTACCTTAAAGGTGAAATGCTCATTAAAAGTCGGATCTAGTGTTTTGCGGTGAACTTTTGTCTCAAACTTTTTCTTCTTGTCAGGGAGGAGGTAGACTTTCACATATGGATCTGAAGTGCCACTCATATCCATAGCAGCAAGACCTTCTGCCTGAATCACACCCACAATTAACTGAACAAGAAAGAAAGTCATATTTTTATATTCATGTTATTATTATTCATAATTTTAATTTAAAAATACAGTTCTCCACACCAACATTATAATTCCAATGCCTAAGCAAGTTTCTCTCATTAATATGGATATCGATGACTGAATTAACACAGGTCACTGATTTGTATTCATACCGAGCTGTCAGTGAAGTTGTAGTCAAGGGTATAGAGAAGTTTTCCCAGTTTTGCAGCCTCTTTAGACTCTGGATCCTCTTTGGGGTCAGAATCAATCCCGTGATGGACAGCCTGTAAATACCATATTATTACAATTTAAAATAACTATTTTCTATTCGAATATATTTTATGTAATTTATTCCTGTGAAGGCAAAGCTGAATTTTCAGTGTCATTACTCCAGTCTTCAGTCACATGATCCTTCAGAAATCAATCTATTATGCTGATTTTCTGCTCAAGAACATTCTTTATTATTATCAATGTTGAAAACAGGTTTTGCTTAATATTTTTGTGGAAACTGTGATACATTTTTTTTATTCTTTGATGTATAGAAAGTTCAAAAGAACAACATTTACTTGAATTAGAAATATTTTGTAGCAGTGTTTTCCCTTTCATTTTTGATCAATTTTAATGGGTCCTTGCTGAATAAAAGTATTCATTTCTTTCCCCCAAAAAAGTCTTACTGGCTTAAACCTTAGGCACAGTACTGTTTGAGTGTCACTGTATATGAATTCAATTAATTATCAATTTGTTTAATAATTTGTACCTGTTTTGTTCCCTCTTCTTTGACGCTTGACATATTTATGGTGTTCTTCTCATTTTTTTCTTTCCCACCCTTATCTTTTTTCTTCTTAAATATCATCTTTTTGCAAAAACACAGGCAGCAGCTTAACGTGATGAGGACTGCGAGGAAGCCAAATGCCACCAAAGCCCAGGATGGTACTGAAACAACACACACACACACAGAAATGACAATAAATACAAAGCTGTGTGTGTGTGAGAGAGAGAGAGAGAGAGAGAGAGAGAGAGAGAGAGAGAGAGAGAGAGAGAGAGAGAGAGAGAGAGAGAGAGAGAGAGAGAGAGAGAGAGAGAGAGAGAGAGAGAGAGAGAGAGAGAGAGAGAGAGAGAGAGAGAGAGAGAGAGAGAGAGAGAGAGAGAGACTGTACTCACATGGGACTTTATGAAGCTCATTCAGAAACTTGCTTCTGATGCTATGGGCCAAACTCTCTGCAGTTGTAGGCTGGACAGCAGCGGGTGTAGGACTAGGTCCAGGTGCCTTTGATTCATTCTGTGCTGGAGGAGATGCTGGAGATAAGGAAGGACCAGCCAGTAGAGCATCGCCCTCATGCATTCTGAAGCCAAGCAACAGAGAGTTGCATTATCTAAAGAGTTGCATGCGACTTTATAAAGTTTTTAACTCCCTTATGACCTTTGCATTTGCATAGTGATCATAATTCTGATGAATTGGGAGCTCATTATAAAGTGTAAAGGCAAAGACAGGTTCACATTCAGCGCACACAGCAGGTGACATGACGCTCCTTAACCTTGGATTATTTTAGGAAATGCTGAGTAGGAATGTATTGATTTTCTCTCTCTTTACAGTAAAATGAGACACAGAAAGCCAGTGACACTGATACCCCTGAGATGCTCTGCTGACTCAAACGTATACCTGCAGGACAAATAATAATAAACATGCATATGCACCAATAAATAAACATCAAACATATCCTTCTAATATTTGCAAACCTCAGAGGCATTCAGAATTTATTAATAAGCATTATATAGTTAATGTAAAAATACATGCAGAACCTGGGACACAGCATGATCTTGTAAAGCACATAAAAGTTCACTATTAAGTGTAATCTAAGGATCGTAAAGAATCACACACTAAATTTGAAGAGGAAGAACACTTACCTGCTGCTCTGATTTGAGGAGTGCCCTCGGACTGACAGTTTTCTGAATTATTGTAGAGCAAGAACAGAAAACAAAGATAATGACGGAGAGAGAGAGAGAGAGAGAGAAGTCTTGTGCGTCTTAGTCTCTTTTAAATAAAGGAAAATATTATGATGATTGACTGACCACTGCTAGAGAAAATGAGAGAGAGAGAGAGACTGTAAGAAGCATCCAATTGGCAAGCTGGGCAGCAGTGGGTGGAACCATATGGACATTATGACAAAGGTTTTAACCAGGAATGTAGAAAATATTTGCAAAGGGGTCACATTAAGCATTGTTTCCCCAAATCTTTGTAGGACATACATAGAAATGTCTAAATGTCATTGCCACCCGTCATAATTTCCAACACACTCTGTCAGTCAAATAGTCAAAAATATAGCCTACTATTGTATATTTTTGAGTGAGTATGGCTACATATTATTGAAGCTTGTTTCTGCTACGGAATAAAAAATTTAAAAAGAAAGGCTAATTGTGACTTTTTCACAATTCTGCCTTTTTTTATCGCGTTCAAATCACGTAGTTTGGACTTTATAACTCGCAATTGTGGAGTTTATATCTCTCAGTTCTAAGAGGAAAAAGGCAGAATTGTGAGATACAAACTTGAAATTCTGACTTTTTTCCCTCGCAATTCCGAGTGCAATGACTCGCACTTTTGACATTTTCCTCAGCATTTACCGAATTATGAGATAAACTGTGAGGAAAAACATGTCCTTAGTTAAATGTCGCAATTAGCCTACCTTTTTTAATTTATAGTCCTTTTAATTTTTCCTTTTGCACAGAAATGGCTTGATATTGTGCATTTCAATGAAATACAAAGTGTTTACTCATTAAACTTTCCTTTTTTAGTGTTTAAAATGTGTATCATAGTTTAATGGTAGTAGACAAAGAACTGTATTATTATACGCCTAAATGACTTTTAAATGTTTATTTAACAGATTTTTGTTCAACATGTTTTATTGAAACTGAAATTATGAAATGTGCCAGTTTGTATGGAACATATCAAATCATTTCTATGCAAAAGGAAGTATGTGCAATAAAATGTTTCTTTACATTACTTTCATCATTAATATTGTCCGGTAGGTGTCAGTATATTCCGCCATGCTGGCAGGAAAAACAACAACACATGGTAGAAGAAGAGCGTCGCCTGGATACTGCATGAAGCTTGAGAGGATGCTCACCGGATTAGAAGGTTTTCATCATTTCAAAATAATTTTACACAGGTTAAAGTGATCGTTTTTATATCTTGTATCCTGACACTTAAATCAATATTAACCCTCTTTTATTTCTTGTTCAGTTTGTTTTAAGTTGTATGATTCGATCACGACATGTAGTTTTTGGGTTTGTTTTGGTTCAGTTCATTGGCTTCTTGTTTTTCTATTTCTTCTGTAACTTGTATCCAGTGTTATTATTAATTATATGACGAACATCACTGAAATCGTTGGTGGCGTGTGCATCTGTCTGCATCACATATGTGCTGCTAATAAGTGCTCACACAAGTTTGCTAGTTCATTGGAAATATGATGTATCATTTGTGTCTTTGCGCATATTGCTTTATGTTGCTGATAGGTGCTTGCTGGTTTTTGTTGTGTTCCGTGCAGATGCTCGAGGAGTGTGTGTGTGTGCTCGCAGCGCTGGAGTGTGTCGTGCGTCGCTGTCTCGGTCCTGGCGGCGGGAGTGTGTTGTTCACTCGAGACACAGGAGAAACACTCGTTAGTAGACACGGACAGCGCCTTCTCTGCGCACTACACCTGGAGCACCCGATGGCCAGGTGCCCATACTCTCTTTTAAAAAAAGCTCATAACTGCAAGATTGGAGTATGGTTTTGTTTGCTGAATCATATTCCATTCTACATATACCTTTTTATTTTCTATTTTAATGTATTTTAAAATGTAAAGTATTCATGTAATGTGAAGCTGATTTTTTTTGTGTGCATAATTACTCCAGTCTTCAGTGTCACATCCTTCAGAAATCATTCTAATATGCTGATTTGCTGCTCAAGAAACATTTCTTATTATTATTATCAATTTCGAAAACCGTTGTGCTGCTAAATATTTTTGTGAAAACCATGATACATTATTTTCAGGATTATTTGATGAATAGAAAGTTCAAAACAACAGCATTAGATAGATTAATTAGATAGATTAACATTAATAGATTTTTTGTAACAATGTACTGTCACTTTTGATTTATTTAATCGATTAAAAGAATCTATCTATCGTCTGTCGGTCTATCATCTATCTATGTATTTATCTGTCTGTCTATCATATATGTATCTACCTATCTATCTCTCTCTCTATATATATACATATATATATAGAGAGAGAGATACATAGATAGAAAGATAGAATGAATTAGATATAAAATATTATTAAATGTATGGTTTTAGGGCAAGTCTAGTATGAAAACAAATATGTAAAATATATGTACCGGTATTCATATTTAAAAGCCTAAAACTAGAGAGAAACTAACAGTTCTGACATTTTTCAGGGTTTATGTATATTAATTATTATTAAATGACAATGATGTGGATTTATTTAGCATATTTTTGTTGTTTTTGTTCTTTAGGATGGTGTTGGACTGCATGTGTGCACATGCTAAAGCTACTGGAGACGGCACAAAGTCATTCATTCTCCTGCTGGCCGCACTTTTACGAGGAATTCAGAACTCTGCTCACATGCACCGTAAAAGATTATGGACTGGCCCTGGCCTTCGAAATCTTGCTAATCGCCTTCTCGCTGTCAGCCGGAAGGAGTTGGATGAAGCCATAATACACAAAATTACCCCATATGCCTCATTGTGCTGTAGTCGCCATAGTTACAAACAGGAGGGCAGCATCCTTGAATTGTTGATTGGTGGGTATATTTCTGGAAGAGTGGCGATTGGTCAGGCTGAAATACTGAAACGAGTCCTGTGTGAGTTCTACCACAAAGTCAGTCAAGATCAAGACGCAGTAGAAACAATCTCATTCATACATTCGCACTTCTCTTTACTGCATACGTCAGTGACAGGACTTCCTATCGGCTCCTCAGAGGTGATTGAAGGCCTGGTTGTGACACGTGATTGGTCGGTGTGGACTGAACTACAAGGACCAGTAAAAGCACTCATTTTATATGAGAGTTTTGGGCCTACTATTGTTACCGCAGGTGACAACATATCCATATGTGTTCAAGAAGACTGGCTGCACCGTACAGAGAACATCATGAAGCAAAAGTTATTGAGTTTATTAGACTTACAGGTGCATGTGCTGCTCTCATCCGTGAAGCAGCCGGAAAGTGTGGTGCAATGGGCTCGACTGAACCACATCGCTCTACTTGAGTTTGTCGACTCGGCCCAGCTGGACTTGCTTTCCAACATCAGTGCTGCTGAAACACTCTCTCATCCACCTCTTCAACACCTCGTGACGCTAAAGTACTGTAGACGTGTGCAACTTGGTGGGCATCGCTATGCCTGTCTGGGAACGGTTTCGCACACACACACACTTGTTCTTTGTGCACCAGCACCAGGATTGCTTGACCAGATTGTGTGTGTGAGCCAAGGTGTGTTTGCGATGTTGCAGCATCTGTCTCGGACGCATGACAGCTTTAAAAAACTGTTTCAAAGCTCCATTCCTGCTGCCGACCAATCACAAAGGACGCTTTCAACTCAAGACCTGTGGGGTGGAATTATGTGTGGAGGTGGAGTGCTTCCCGTTGGTGGCATGTTTGAGTTCTTGCTACATCATTTCCTGCTGAACGAACGTAACTGTGGTGACCCAGAGTGCTGTAGGCTGCTGGCAGAGGCTTTGTTGTGTGTGCCTAGAACTTTATACTCTCTCAATCAAAGAAGCTTCTTGAATATCCAGACATGTGTCTTAAGTGATCTTAAGCAATTGGAACGGGCCAAATTGCAAGGGTCGGAATTGCCAGACCTAAAGTTTGGGCTCGGGTTTAGTGAGAGTTCTGAATTGGCACCGTGTCTGGAGTCGGTCAGTGGTAAACAGGAGCTGGTTGTTTCTGTGTTGCAGTGTTTGCACAGACTCTTATGTGTAGGGGCTATTTTACACACCCGCTCTCCACTACGCACCGGCCCACAAACACACTCTGAGGAGGATGAGGAAGAGGAGGAAGGAATGAAAGAGCACTCAAACTCCACTCAAAGAACAGATGCATAAGCCGCACTGAATATCCAAGCCTATAATGTTGTGTGTAAATTCTATTCACTGTGCCACTTACAGGTGCATGTGCTGCTCTCATCCGTGAAGCAGCCGGAAAGTGTGGTGCAATGGGCTCCACTGAACCACATCGCTCTACTTGAGTTTGTCGACTCGGCCCAGCTGGACTTGCTTTTCAACATCAGTGCTGCAGAAACACTCTCTCATCCACCTCTTCAACACCTCGTGACGCTAAAGTACTGTAGACGTGTGCAACTTGGTGGGCATCGCTATGCCTGTCTTGGAACGGTTTCGCACACACACACACAGTTGTTCTTTGTGCACCAGCACCAGGATTGCTTGACCAGACTGTGTGTGTGAGCCAAGGTGTTTTTGCGATGTTGCAGCATCTGTCTCGGACGCATGACAGCTTTAAAAAACTGTTTCAAAGCTCCGTTCCTGCTGCAACTCAAGACCTGTGGGGTGGAAACATCCGTGTCATTCGTTCATCCGTGAATGAAGTGGCTCCAAAAAGTATTGGACGCTTAAAAACACCTGAATGCTCTTGCTTTACATACATGCATAAAATCAAGTGGCATCTGCAAACAAATGCTGCTAAACCTTCTCTCAGAACTAACTTTAAATATTTGAGCCCTTTTTGCAATGACTTTAAACGACCTGGTCATTTTATTAGATGTTTGATGTCCTTGTAGAACAGCCGCATTTAAAGCCTACTAATTTTTTCTTTTCCTTTTCTTTTAAATAAATGCCACTTGCTTTGATATTTTGTTATATAATTCAAAAACATTCAGAGATTGTATTATATTTATTTATATAAAATATTCTATTGAACATAAGTTCAAATAGAATATTTATAGAAATATTTGTAAAACAGTTTCATATGCAGTTAACACTGAAATACAAAATTGTTTCAATTAGTTTAAAAAAAAGTTTGAAATCATTGTTGGCTAATGTTGTAGAAACAAAACAGTTGTTTTTAAAAAATTAAGCCAATAAAAGTAGTACAATTCAAAAGTTTGTGGTCAGTAAGATTATTTTGGAAAGAAATTAATACTTTTATTTAGCAAGGACACATTCAATTGATCAAAAGTGACAGTAAAGACATGTATTATGTTACAAAATATATCTATTTCTTATAAATAGGGTTTTTTATTTATTTATCAAAGAATCCTGAAAATTTTTCCACAAAAATATTAAGCAGCCCAACTGTTTTCAATATTGATAATAAGAAGAAATGTTGATCACCAAATCTGAAGAATCATGTAACACTAAATACTGATGCAGTAAATTCAGCTTGGCCATCCCAGGAATAAATTATAAAGTGCCCCATTATGCTTTTTCAAATATGATACCTTTCATGCAGTGTGTAATATAGCTGTTTGTGAATGTAAAATGTAAAGTTTCAAAGTGAACTACATATTACTACATGAGATATTGTCTCCTATAAGAAAGAATCGATTCTGAACTGCCGAAACGTGTCGTCAGTATTTCTTACCTTGGATGCATTTAAACCTGGGAACCTTTAAAATAGCATAATAGGGGCACTTAAAAAAAAAAAAAAACCAGTTACGTTGCGCATTGTAATAATATATTTCACAATATCATTGTTTTTACTGTATCAAATAATCAAATAAATTCAGCCTTGGTGAGGATAAGAGACTTGTACTTTAAAAATAACATCTTGTTACATGCATGGTAATGTACTTTAAAAATAACATCTTGTTAATATAGTACTGGCCCTGTCACTGATTATATATGTATGAGTAGAGTCAAAGGTTTGTCAAAATTGTTAGATATTAGATTTAGATAGATGCGGTCAGAGCCATGATCTTGTGTGTCTCAATAGATGTCCAGCTGGTCCCAGAAGTCACAGAAATGGTCCCTGTCCCCGTGTTGTGGGTGTGACTGTAGAGTCAGGTTCAGGATGGGCCAGTCTTCTGTAGCCGTGTACCGTGGCCAAACAGCAAGCCTCTGCTTTCTGCAAAAGTGCGTCTGTTCACTTCGAGAGTTTGGGTCCCCCGTGTGGGCAAACGCTCCCCAGTAGCACGCCATTCGATTGGCCAGAAGGCTCTCTTGAGGTGTAAATGTGAAGTTTGTGCTGGGGCCGGAGTCAAACAGAAAGGGAAGCTCTGCCCCATGGCAGGTGTGATTGTAGCAGAACGGAAGCCCCGCCCATATGCTGGGATCAGAAGGAGCATGGTCAAATACATACAACCAAACAGATCCGCCAGCTCTTACTCCAGAACGAGCAGACCATCGAGCCGGACACAGAAACACATAATCTGTCACAATCTACAAAAAAACAGGCCCAAAGCCCAACATTGTAAGAAATGAATGAATGAATGAATGAATGAATGCCGTTTGTCTTGCAGTTGTTTATATGGGATGCTGAAGTCTTACCTGTGAAAGCATCACTCGTCTGTCCTGGTTTCGGTAGAAAGGAATGTATTTGTGCAGAATTCTGAACGCATGTTGCTTAAAAATAGCAACAGTGTAGAGCAAACATTCCAGCACTGACACAGACTGGTTGAAAGTGCCGTACACAAAGACTACGCCTTCCTCAGAGGTTGTACCTACAGTGCAGACCAGAAAACACACAAAGGTAAATGATGCAAATCTTACTTAATTTAAAATACAATGTAAAATAGAATGGCTAAATACAATGTAAGCTTTGGTTAAATTTCAGCAGTTATTTTCTATAGTAATAAGATATGTGTATTTAACCCAGAATGTGCTGATGAAAGTATCAGAAACCTAGTATAACAGGCTTGTAACTCTGCCAGTTGCCTGTTTGGAAGGCTGTGATTGGCTGTTCCTGGATAAGCTCTCCATCAATGAATGGCCCCCATGTCTCAAAGACCTCTAGGAAATGGAAGGGGTTGATGATCTTAGAACCTTCAAAAGACAGAATTTTCAGTGTTTGTATATGTCTGATATTCTTGTCTGATGCATTTATTACACGGCTCCCTGAAATCCTTGATTCTAATTGGCCAATCGGAACATTATGCATTATATTTTTATATAATGTTCACTAAATTGTATATTTGAATGTCGTCCCAGATAAAACCATATCGCACCATATGCTTTTGTTCACATAATAAAATAATTTCAGCATAAATTAATATTTAACGTTCATTTATTTATTTATTTGGCAAATAGCTGCGTATTAAGAGGGATAAAGCAAAATAAACCCAATCAGAATGATACAAACCCCTCAATTTTGTGTCTTTATGAGTCTGTGTGTAACCTCTATGAGTCAATGTTATTTCAATATTATTTATAATCTATTATAATATTTATTAATATTTTGAATTAGCTTTTATTTTTATTCTTCAGTATTTTATTTTAGTTAAAGTTTTAGTTATTTTGTTATGTGCTTTTGTCATTTTTTTTATATTTATTCCTATTCAATTCTAATTCCATTTTGTTTGTCATTTTATTACTTCAACTCAGGGGTATTTTAGTATTACTGAGATACTATGTTTATGTTTAATTTTTATTTTAATATTTTTCATTTTCATTTTAGTTAAAATCGTTTCATTTTAGTTTAGTTAAATTTATTATTATTTTGAAATATGTCTGTATAGTTTTTATTTATTTTTTATTTCCGTTTTAGCCATTTTATTACTAAATGAAAATGAGAAATATGTTTAAATTTTTGTGTATTTTAGTTAATGTTTATTTTATTTCAAGTAATGAAAATGTTTTTAATGGTTTTAGTTTTAGTTAGCTATAACCTTCAACTTAACTTTTTTCTCAGTCAGTTACTAAGGCAACATTTCTAATTTTTAAAGTTTTACGTTTTTCATCTAATATTTTATGTTACTTTATTTCAGTTTTATTTCAATTAATCAAAAAACTATTTTTTATAGTTTTCGTTCACATTAACAACTCTGATGTAAGTGTGTGTACCTGATTTAACCTGGGCGTTGAGTACAGCATGTGAACTGAGAGAGCGCAGGCAGGGCAGATCAAATGCTGAGCAATTAGTTTGTTTAGCAAAATCCCAGCCCAGTTTCACAGCATCCCATCTACAACATAATAAACAACATTATTATCACCATCATCATTCATAATTTCTCTCAGGAGGCTAAGGCTCTGTTCTAAACAGTCACTGTGATTTTGACAGTTCCTGGATCAACATATTTTATTGATCCTGGAACAACATTCCAACATCCAGAAATCAGGGTCTAGTTGCATAAACATAGCCATTATGTTAAGTCTGTGTCTTAAAGGCCCACTGAAGTGCCTTGAAATGCGCAGCATTATTCAATGTGTTGTAATTTCCACGCCAACAGGGCGGGACATATCGAACAGCTCCTCCCCTTTTTTTTAAATAGCCAATAGCGTTTAGTTTTAAAATATAGCATTCTGTGCAAAATTCAACTGGATCCGATATGTTTTGTGGTATATGCGCCAACTCACGCATATGATCCACTCTGTGCTATCGTGTTTCTGGACCGGAGCTGCGGCAGTTCGCGTGACACTAACGTAAAACCAGACTAATGCAAAACTTAATTCGCCCCACTGGGAAGCATATTTACACTGTCTGAATCGTTCCCTATCCCCTATATAGTACACTATATGCCATGTAGAAAATAGTAAATGTGTGAAGTTGTGAACAAGCGACCGTTTTCAGCCGCAGCTTCAGCATCTATTTGGGGGCGGGACGCTTTAGATTCCAGAGAGCATTTGATTGGACAGAAAATCTGATGAGAAGCTGAAGTGCAGCGTGATGCCATCAAAATCATTGATCCACATTGGCGGAAGTGAGAGACTGTAAGTTTTGAATCTTTTAAATGCGAATTTTGCCTTCTTTTTGTTTGGAGCACTCTTATAGATAAACATAAGGCTAACACATTCATACTAAAAGCCAAAAAACTTCCATTTTGATTTCATGGGGACTTTAAGTAGGCCTAGTAGTAGGCCTATAACCAACTAGCTGTTGCAATCAGTCTTTTTGGTATCAAATTAGACTAATCGTTTTTATGCAACTGGCATGAAAAAGTTATGAAGAAAAAAACGTGATAACTATCTTGTAAGACTTAGCAGTATCTGCAACCGGCCCCAAGTTCACCGTTCCAAAACATATAAGTTGCCTATGGAGGAGGAGCTCATGGCATCATAGACGTGCAACCGATGCAAGAGGTAAGTAGAAATGCGCTAAGATACCTTGATTTGCCCAGATTCTCAAAGGCGCCACTGTATTTATTCTTCACAGAGAATGCACTGCACCAAGCAATAAATCCACGATGATTATATAAAAATAGTCCAGATTAATCTAAATTAATTGTTTGTGTGTTGAATGTTTTCTGTTTTCTATAACAATTTATTGGCTCCAGGCCACAATGCAGTTGACAAGGTTTTGGGAAAGAGGTTAAGAGTGTTTTATGTGTGCTTTACCTGGTTTTCAGTGGCAAAGAGAATGGTAAACTCTGAATGGCTGCATGTCTAAACAAAGACTCACTGCTCTCCATCATTAGATGAAGACACACTGATTGGGCTCCAGCGCTCTCGCCAAACAGTGTAACCTACACACATGCAAATATATATACAGCAATTAGATGTCCAGACTGTCATCATTCATCCACCCTTATGCGCTCTGATACCTTATTTGGGTCTCCTCCAAAAGCTGCAATGTTTTCTTGGACCCAGTGCAATGCTGCCTGCTGGTCTAGAATCCCATAATTCCCCACTGCAGAGCTATCGGGATCTTTGCCTGTGACTAAGAAGCCAAATGCACCTAAACATTGACCACAACATCTTACAAACTTGCTCATTCAGATGTATGCACACACACCAATATGGAAAATGTAATGCTTTTTCACTAACCAAGACGATATTCCATGTTTACAACCACTGTGTTGCTATAGTTACTGATGAAGCGGCCATCGTACAGAGGTTTAGAGGCGGAGCCAGCGATGAAGTCACCGCCATGAATCCACACCATCACTGGTAGTGCTGTTACTATCGGCAACGACAGGTTGATGCTCACAGGTACAAACACATTTAGATATAGGCAGTCCTCACTAACCTGTGTACAGTAAATCCAGATTCATATTCAGACCAGCAGTAAGAAACCTTTCTTAGATTAATATTGCTAGCTTGTTGTCAGGGTGTTGGTATGTGGTTGCTAAAGTGTTCTTAGTCTTTCTTAGCATGTTGTAATGTTGTTGCTAGGACATTGCTAGATTGTTGTCAGGGTGTTGCTAAAGTGTTCTGAGTCTTTCTTAGCATGTTGGAATGTGGTTGCTAGGGCATTGCTAGATTGTTGTCAGGGGGTTGCTATGTGGTTGCTAAAGTTTTTCGGGTGTTTTTAGCATGTTGCAGTGTGTTTGGGTAGTTGCCAGGGCATTGTGGTTGCTAAAGTGTTCTGAGTCTTTCTTAGCATGTTGGAATATGGTTGCTAGGGCATTGCTAGATTGTTGTCAGGGGGTTGCTATGTGGTTGCTAAAGTTTTCTGCGTGTTTTTAGCATGTTGGAATGTGGTTGCTATGGCATTGATAGATTTTTTTCAGAGTGTTGCTATGTGGTTGCTACATTTTTTTGAGTGTTTTTAGCATGTGTGGCTTCTAGGTAGTTGCCAGGATGTTGCTATGTGGTTGCTAAAGTCATCTAAATCTTTCTTATCATATTGATATGTTGTTGCTAAGGCATTGCTATGTGGTTGCCAGGACGTTGCTATGTTGTTGCTAGGGCATTGCTATGTGGTTGCTAAAGTGTTTTAAGCATTTTTTAGTGTTTTGCTTTGTGGTGTTGCTACACAGTTGTGCATGTGCTCTGAGTGTTTCTTCGCATGTTGCATTGTGGTTTCTACAGCGTTGCTGTTACGGGTGTGGTGCAGGCAGAGGAAGAGGCAGCAGTCAACAGGTCCAATTCAAATATAATTTACTCAAACAAAACAAGGATCACGGGAAACAGCAACACACCATACACAAACGTTACATAAACGAGAACCGACAAGGAGTGAGGGAGAACACAGGGTTTACATACACAGAGAACAGATAAGGGAAACAAGGCACAGCTGGGGCAAATGAACTAGACACAGGTGAATAAACTAAACACTAACGAGGAGCGGGAAACTGGAAACAAGACTGAACCAAATACACAAAGAACGGGGGAAACACAGGACTCAACCAAATCACAATGACGGGGGGAAACACAGGACACACATGTAACATAACGCCCCCTCCAAAAAGGCGCGTCCTCGCGCCGTATAACTTCAATAGGGGTGGGGGGGCGGGCGCCCTGGAGGCTGACGAGGGCGTGGCCTACCCTGAGCAGGAAGCCTCCAGGGCGGAGCAGGACATGCAGGAGGCCAGGGCGGAGCAGGACGTGCAGGAGGCCAGGGCGGAGCAGGACGTGCAGGAGGCCAGGGTGGAGACTTTCCCTCGGGTGGCCAGGGTGGAGACTTTCCCTCGGGTGGCCAGGGTGGAGACTTTCCCTCGGGTGGCCAGGGTGGAGAGGCCACTTCAGGAGGCCAGGGTGGAGAGGCCACTTCAGGTGGCCAGGGTGGAGAGGCCACTTCAGGTGGCCAGGGTGGAGAGGCCACTTCAGGTGGCCAGGGTGGAGAGGCCACTTCAGGTGGCCAGGGTGGAGAGGCCACTTCAGGTGGCCAGGGTGGAGAGGCCACTTCAGGTGGCCAGGGTGGAGAGGCCACTACAGGTGGCCAGGGTGGAGAGGCCACTTCAGGTGGCCAGGGTGGCTTATATCCCCCCCCCAAAATTTTCTTGGGGGGAGTGACGGGTTCAGAGACAGGCTTGGGGGAACTGGACGGGACCAGCGGAGAAGGCACGGGAGGACTGGACGGGACCAGCGGAGAAGGCTCGGGAGGACTGGACGGGACCAGCAGAGAAGGCTCGGGAGGACTGGACGGGACCAGCGGAGAAGGCTCGGGAGGACTGGACGGGACCAGCGGAGAAGGCTCGGGAGGACTGGACGGGACCAGCGGAGAAGGCTCGGGAGGACTGGACGGGACCAGCGGAGAAGGCTCGGGAGGACTGGACGGGACCAGCGGAGAAGGCTCTGGCTCGGCAGACGCGCAGGGAAGCTCCGGCTCGGCAGGCGTGCGGGGAAGCTCCGGCTCGGCAGGCGTGCGGGGAAGCTCCGGCTCGGCAGGCGTGCAGGGAAGCTCTGGCTCGGCAGGCGTGCAGGGAAGCTCAGGCTCGGCAGGCGTGCAGGGAAGCTCAGGCTCGGCAGGGCTGCAGGGAAGCTCAGGCTCGGCAGGGCTGCAGGGAAGCTCAGGCTCGGCAGGGCTGCAGGGAAGCTCAGGCTCGGCAGGGCTGCAGGGAAGCTCAGGCTCGGCAGGGCTGCAGGGAAGCTCAGGCTCGGCAGGGCTGCAGGGAAGCTCAGGCTCGGCAGGGCTGCAGGGAAGCTCAGGCTCGGCAGGGCTGGACGTGACCAGCTGTGCGGGCTTGGCTGGGCTGGACGGAACCAGCGATGAGGGCTTGGCTGGGCTGGACGGAACCAGCGGTGCGGGCTTGGCTGGGCTGGACGGAACCAGTGGTGCGGGCTTGGCTGGGCTGGACGGAACCGGCTGTGAAGGCTCGGCTGGGCTGGACGGAACCAGCGGAGAAGGCTCGGGAGGACTGGATGCATGGGCCAGAACTGATGTGTGTGTAGCCCACACACACAAAATCGCCGTAGACATCACCATCAAAGCAGTCTCCTCTTGAGTGGACTTACGTGTGGTGTGCACAGTCTCTAACGGGCAGGCGACGGGCTCAGGCTCTGGCGGGCAGGCGACGGGCTCAGGCTCTGGCGGGCAGGCGACGGGCTCAGGCTCTGGCGGGCAGGCGACGGGCTCAGGCTCTGGCGGGCAGGCGACGTGAAGCTGCGGTGCAGGCTGCTCTGAACGGACGGTCTCTGGCTGGACGGTCTCTGGCTGGACTGATGTTACCGTGAGGGATGAACCACAGACCCAAAGCGCCCTGTCCAGAAACTCCGAGAATGGTAGATGTAGGTCATCGAGCAACAGTATCTGGGCTAAGGGATCATCCAAACCTCTCCAGAACCGCTGTTTAAGGAAATCTTCCTCCCAGTATACGTCCTGGTGCAGGTGAAGATAAACCTCTGTGAATTCCTCCAGTGAGGCCCCATTTTGGTCAAAGAGGAAAGCCTCCATCTGGTCGTCCATTTTTGTGGTCGGTTCTTCTGTTACGGGTGTGGTGCAGGCAGAGGAAGAGGCAGCAGTCAACAGGTCCAATTCAAATATAATTTACTCAAACAAAACAAGGATCACGGGAAACAGCAACACACCCTACACAAACGTTACATAAACGAGAACCGACAAGGAGTGAGGGAGAACACAGGGTTTACATACACAGAGAACAGATAAGGGAAACAAGGCACAGCTGGGGCAAATGAACTAGACACAGGTGAATAAACTAAACACTAACGAGGAGCGGGAAACTGGAAACAGGACTGAACCAAATACACAAAGAACGGGGGAAACACAGGACTCAACCAAATCACAATGACGGGGGGAAACACAGGACACACATGTAACAGTTGCTAGGTGGTTGCTAAAGTGTTCTGAGCATTTCTTAGTGTGTTGATATGTGGTTGCTATGCAGTTGCTGACGTGCTCTAAATGTGTTTCTATGCATGTTTCAGTGTAGTTTCTAGGGCATTACTGATTGCTTACAGGCCCAAGTCAAAAGATCTTATATTCGGGCCCCTATTTATGTCCATATTGCACAAATAGTGCAGGGCGACTAATCGTTTTAAAAAACCTCTAACCTTAATTATGAGCACCTGTAACACTGAATATTTTATGCGTGCACTATGCAGCCATATAATTCTCTAAATGTACTGTATTTTAATAGGTGGATGGTTTTAAAATGTGTAATGATTACAATGTTGCATACCTTAGGAGGACACAGCCGAGAGAACTCCCCAGCACACATCTGCATGCACGCGGGACGGGGAAATGTGGCATCATACATGTACGACCAAGGTGACAAGGGTGAAGGAGGAGTCCAGCGTTTATCTCCCACAGGAGGGTCAGCAAACGGAATGCCATAAAACACGTGAGCTTTGTCCAAAGTACGGCCTCGAACTTGCCCGAGATGTGTGGTGACCACTGGATCTTCACTAGCAGTATCATCCAGGCCATCAAAGCTGTTATCCAACGAATTAATGATGCATTCACCATCACATCGCACCTTATTCAAGTCTTCAATATCCATCTCAGGCTCCTTGTGTACAATATTATCATCTTCAAAATTACTTTCATTGCATGCAGTTCTGGTTGTTATGGAATCAGCTGCTGAATGCATATCACTCGATTCAGCCACAGTGTTTCTTGAAAAATCATCAGTACTAGCATATAATTCTAGACTCTTGAGCGAGTTTAAAGACTCACCTAGAAAAACATCATCCAAGCTCTCATGTACTTCATTTTGTTCAGTATTTGGGATGTTAAACATCATGGTCCGAGTCCCAGTTGTGTGTACATAGAAGGTCTTTTGTTGAGTTTCACTTTCTTGTGTTCCTCTAACAATTGGCATCATTGAAAGTAACGTTACCACAATCATTATAGTAGCAGACGACATCATGATGGCCTTTCAAACTGAGGTGTAGATTCAGAAAGCCATCAAGATCAAGAATCAAGATAGAGTTAGTTTAGTCAAGATAGTTAGTTTAGTTCCACTCACTTCAACAGAAGAATCTCAGCTGAGCTGCCCAGATCCACAAACAGATGTTTGCAGAAAGTTTTGTGCTGTAGATTCCCAGTTATTGCCGAACGTATCTTTAATCTGCAAACAGAGAGTATGTAGAGGAATCGGACTCTGTCTTGTGCGCCTGTTGAATTTCACGTGACACCAATGAGTTAAAATTTCACAAACATTTCAGTCTCTCTCACACACAAGAGCGCTATTGTGAAACAAATCAGATTACAGGCAGTGAGAGGTCAGGATATGGTAAATGCACAGGACAATGCTCTATGCTAATGTTTTGTATATTTATATACAACAGAATCACATTGAATGTATAAAAAAAATACAAAATGTAAAAAAAGAAAACCTAAAAAAAAAAACTTTTTATCATGTAATATGTAATTTGTCTTCTTGTCTCAGTTACCTCCTTAGATCAGTGTGTCTTGTACTAATAGCCTGGACTGAGATTTTCTTAATAAGCTCTGTGTTTTATCATTTTCTGTGAAGTTTTTATTGTTATTTTTCTTAAAGAAGATATTTTGAAGAATGTCGGTAACCAAACAGTTGATGGACCCCATTGACTTCCATGGTATTTTTTTTTTCATACTGTGGAACTCAATGGACACCAGTAAATGTTTGGTTACCGATATTCTTCAAAATATCTTCTTTTGTGTTCCGCAGAAGAGAGAAACTCATACAGGTTTGGAACAACTTAAGGGTGAGCAAATTATGACAGAATTTTCATTTTTGGATGAACTGTCCCTTTAAATGACTTTAATTTTTTTAATTGAAAATTGTTTAAACATTTTTCAGAGGTGTAAGAAACAAACATGAATGCAAAGATGACTCTTCAAAGAACTTTACTCATGCAATTTAAACTAGATTCTTTAACAGTTTTCTTATGTTCTTCATCTCTGTCATCCCTATGTGTAATTAACCTACAGTGCTGGTCAGAGTTATTTGCCCCTTTGGTAAATATGATCAAAGATGGCTGTAAAAAATAAATCTGGATTGTTTATCCTTTTGATATATATATATATTTTTTTAAATCTTAAACCTTTTATTCAACCTCCTTTTTCCAAGATAACAGCTCTGAGTCTTCTCCTATAATGCCTGATGAGTTTGGAGAACACCTGACAAGAGATCAGAGACCATTCCTCCATACAGAATCTCTCCAGATCCTCCAGATTCCCAGATCCATGTTGGCGCTTCTTCTCTTCAGTTCAGCCCACTCATTTTCTATAGAGTTCAGGTCAGGGACTGGGATGGCCATTGCAGATGCTTGGTTTTGTGCTCAGTGACCCATTTTTGTTTTGATTTTGATTTTTGTTTTTTATCACTGTCCTGTCCAGGACCTCTGGCTGAAAATTAGACCCACAGCATTAAAGATACAGCAGAGTATTTCATTTTACACATGGGGTACTTTTTTTATCCCTGTATATGAACCAAACCCATATTAAGTGTTTGCTGCCAAAAAGCTCTTTTTGTTTTGTTTCATCTGACCATAGAACGTTTGAAAAGTAACTGACACTACTGGAACTTCAAACGGGACGGGTTCTATGGACAGACAAAACAAACAAAAAAGAGCTTTTTGGCAGCAAAAATGAGTGGGCTGAACTGAAGAGAAGAAGCGCCAACATGGATCTGGGGATCTGGAGGATCTGGAGAGATTCTGTATGGAGGAATGGTCTCTGATCTCTTGTCAGGTGTTCTCCAAACTCATCAGGCATTATAGGAGAAGACTCAGAGCTGTTATCTTGGAAAAAGGAGGTTGCAAAAAGTATTTAATAAAAGGGGGCAAATTATTGTTCCCAACGTGTTTTGGAGAAAAACATTTATTTCATAAAGTGATTTCCCCCCCACTTTTAATTCTTTTACTTCAATGAAAGGTTTGATTTTTTAATAAAACATCAAAAGGACTAACAATGCAGATTTTTCAGCCATCTTTGATCATATTTACCAAGGGGGCGAATAATTCTGACCAGCACTGTAGGTGTGTGTACATCCTAGAAAAAAGGATGACACATTACTCATGCACTAATAGAGCACTACTGATTGATTACTCAGAAAAATAAACTACTTCAAAACATAATTCGTAACTTGTGACTCATAGCTGTTCTCACTCACGGCCTACAGTGTGCTATACGTACACCCGTTTCCATGGTTACGGTAAAATCATCAAGAATGCGTCGTGACTTCATTGGTATGTGTGTGAAACACACAACTGAACTCTCAGCCACCATACTATCTTTACAGCACTATTACACATGCACAGTCACACAGGTTCACGCTTCATAATGGTTGTAACACACTTTATAAATGAGATCACAGAAGACCAGTAAGAGTATAAAATAACCCAAGTTTATTCAAGTAGCACTTTTATGATTGCCAATCTTAGAAGTAAAATGAAAAGTCCACTTTTTTAAATCAAATTTATTTATAGACCTTACAGATTTACACACAGCAGAAATGGAACTATATATATATATATATACATATATATGATAATATTTCAGTGATTAATAATTTAATATCCAACCGTATATAAATGATGGAGTGATTCAAAGATTAAGGTTCAAGTTTGAGACATTAGATAACACGGGATGACATTAATGTGTTACATAAAAGTGCCAGCAAACTCCTAGTAAACACAGTCCAAGATTAGTCAGCCAATAGGAAACACTGGGGGCTGAAGAGGGCGGGCCATGGTCCCACCCAGGGAACCAATCATATCCTGTAAAGAGAGACATTAAGATGTAGGTTTGAAAGACGTCATACCGGGAGTATATGCAAAATATATATAAATATGGAAATAATAATAAAATACATCTTTAAATAAAAAGATGTAGTTGACATTAAGATATTAATAAGTTTTAAACATTAACAATATGATTTTCTGTCAAGCTGCTTTGAAACAATCTGTAATGCGAAAAGAGATCCAAATGAAATTGACAGTCATCTAGTCTAAAAACCTACATGTGCAGTGTACATGTGGTTATACAACTGGTTTTATTTTAAGTCAAATATATTATTTAGTATGACCTCATCAAACTGACTTCATAAAATTACACAAATGAGTAAGATCAGGAGTAAGTTGAATAAAGAGTAAGATCAGGCAGACATATAGTAGCTCCTTTGCACAGTAATAAAGGGCAGTTTTTACACATACACATACACACACATTTTGTACTATACTGTATATATACAATATCAATACATACAGATATTATATATATATGTATTATATAATCTCTTCAGATGGTGTGGAAAGGTTGTACCTAATAACACTAAACTGTGAACTATGTTTGCACTGTAATATTACTGTAATATTGCTGTGTGATAGTTATTGTGATGTGTCATCGTGAATGCTCTTACTACAGACGTTGTCTCGGCAGATCTCTGATCCACAACCGCTGCAGCCCACACCTGCTATGTTTGGAGTAACACCATGAACTTGTCCTCTGCAATAAAGCATGTTGGAATAACATCACCACAAGAGGTAGACAAAGTTATATTTTTGACCTGTGCTGCAACTTTATTATATCAATGCAATGCAACAATAAATCAAGCAAAACTTCTATACCCCCTTCCCCCAGTCTTGAACATTTGGTTACATCCTTGGTTACATCCCAAATGTAAAATAAGAAAGTCTAACTTACGTATCGCCATAGTTGCACACAAAGATGGTGGATTCTGGGTGAGTGGAGAAGTTTTCGATTCCTTTAGAGCACACATTTACAGCACAGCCCAGCTTGAAGCTTGTAGACCACATTAACTGAAACATACAATACATGTACAAATACACAAGGTTGAGAAAGATAGTCGAAAAAAAATTTCAGTGCTGAAATAAATTCACATACAAAGCTGTAATAATGTTAAAGAACATACCTGTGTGTAGTGGCCGCACAACCGTGAGCAGTTGTTGTTTTTGAGTGAGTACACTCCTTCTTTGTTCCACCTGTGTATGGCGTTCTCCACGGAGAAGGCAGCGAACGGAGCCCCCAGCCAGATGTTCTCGCCCATCCATCCGAATGGCGGGTGCCCGAAATACCCTAGCCCAGGATGATGAGAGGCTTTGCAGTGTCTCGCCCGGTCTCTGGCACCTTTGGCCAATTCATTGTCCCAGGACTGTAGACAAACACACAAACACATCCACACAACAATAATCCAAATCAATAGAATTACAATATATAGATATTATATGATTTAAGATATGACTCACAGGATTAGAGGAACAAGCTCCAACAAAACTTATATATATACAATGTGATTTGTCCCAGAACATTTGATCCCAGAACATTTTACATGTGCAAGTTTGGTTGTTTTTTGCTGAAACTTATTCGAATCAATTGAAATACAAAAAAACACACAAAAAAAAAAAACACTGCTTAATAGTCCTTATATTTTACCTAATTAAAAAAAAACAGAACAAATTAATAACACATGTAAAATGATTATTGATGGAGAGATATCATTTTGCCTGTCAGAACCCTCTTCAAGCACCATTACAAACAAGAAGACCCTTTGTTTTCTCTTCGTTCTTTTACTACTTAGAAAAATGCGATCCAGATCAATAGGGAACCTTTTCTTTCCACTCATACAAAAACATCTCTCCATTGCCATGACAACAAGAATGATGGTTGTACATTTTTGTTATATTCTTAAAACAAACACTCTGAGACAAAAAAAAAAGAACATGCTGTTAGGGTAGAATGATGAATCTGTGTAATTACCATGAGCATTTAAAATGTGGAACACTGGGACATTGGATTACACACACAAACACAGACAAATGATGATGAACATGAGTAAACAAGATTGAGTAAACAACATGCTCAAAAAGCTGCGCAAATAATTATTGACACATAAATGTTTTTGAGGAATGATTCATCTTAACAAAACAACCGATGCATTAAATACCTGCACCCTGAACACCTGTCTTACCATGGAGCGCGCACTGACCGCAGGTGGAGTGACGCGCGAGCGTTGCGTGTTATGCGCCTGCACACACCTGCGGATGAACTCCGGTTCCGTTATTCCCGGTAAGAGAGCCAGAACGCCGAATGAGCCGTACAGAAGAACCCATATCTGTAAGAGAAGACTGCCGAGAGAGTCCATGGCAGGAGACTGTCCTGAGCCGCGCTGCTTTGCTCTGGATAAATGAGTCAATGGAGCATCACTGCAAGAGATGCGCTGACCTGTGCGTCATGGTGCCGTGGATTTGCCCACTCTCTCTCCCTCTCTGTCTATCGATCTCTCTCTCTCTCCGTCTGTCTATCTGTCTTCGTACAGGGGCTTTTTAAAGGACCGATACAGAACCACCCACCATGTCACGAAAGAATTTGATGCGCGGGGCTCTTTGTCTTCATTTCTCACGCACAAGTTCTCGCTCCCGCGCGCGCGCACAGTCTGTCTAAATGTAAAATAAACCGTTACAAAAATGTCTGTTTTGCCATATTTAGCCAGTACATATTTAGAATGTCTATTCTGAAAAAAATGCATTTAGAGTTAGTTAATTTAATTTACATGTCAGCTGAGCTATAGTTTAAGTTGATTTAGCCGGACTACATTTAAGGAGGCTATTCAAGATTTTAATTAAAATTACGATGGGATATTACCTTTAATTATGCATTTATTTAATAATACATTGATGTCCTTCATGTAATGTTGTATTTTATATGATTTAAAAATTATATATATATTTAGATAAAATCTATAGAAATAAGATTCACAAAATCTTCTCATTTTATACATTTGTGTAACTATTTTACATTTCAAAATGTCAAAATAATTTGTATACAGGCGTTTTCCTCACATTCGTGACCATGATCTTTAATAAATAATGGATTAACAGGGTATTTGTATTTATTTTTTCCATTTATTTTAGTGTATTCATTTCAGACTTCATTACCCAGAATTCTTTAATGATGACAGTCACGCTGCCATCGTGTGTTCTGTGTTTAGTTTGTAACCACCACAGCAACGTGAGCGCGGGAGTGAAAACCGTCCTAAAACCGGTTAATTTTGAACAACTATAGAATTTTCATATACATAAATATAGTGTACAGTTCCACTAATAATGAGAGCAAACGTGAAATCTTCACCCTTACATAAAACCGTGCAACAGGTAAGTGCGCAATGCCTACAACGTAATGGATGGCTTTTAACTCGAAAAGGTAAAGCTTTATTAATTATTCCTTCTGTTTGCATGTAACGTTATACTAAAGCCCAAGACAACAATGGCAGACCGCGGACCGAGGCCAGCAGAGTAAGTTAAGAACTAAGATAAGCTTGTAAACATATTGTTTGTTGTTAATATATAGTTATTTATTGATTAAATATATCACTCCCAGAGTTCCAGTGCTAAAGTTAGAGACCCTGCACGGAGCGGAAGAAGAGGTGGGATAACAAAACATGATGATGTGTAGTTTAATGACTTGATTTTGCAAATAGAGTCGAAGCAGGTCTAAAAATATTGAACATGTAATTTTCTTCAGCATCCTGCCATAATTCCAAAGGATGCTGCTATCAAGAGTGTCACAGGAGAGCTGTCAGGCATGAGTTGGGGCTCTCCAGCCTCCACACAGTCAAAGCAGGTGCTTATTCAATATTACCATAAAGGAAAAGGTCACCCAAAATTATGTCATTATGCTTTTTTTTTACTGGTAGTTTTTTCCCCAATACAATTTTGAGGCTTTTGAGCTTCCTTTATAAAGCCAATTTTTCTTTTCTTTTTTTTCACACAAAAAATACAGGCATCTGTTTAAATTAGGCATCTTGTGCTTTTCCCTCCCCGTGTTTTTCATCCAAGATGAAAGACTCAATTAAAAATCACATGCCTGCTGTGGATCATGGAGAATCACTACAGCTGAGCCACAGAGTCCAGGCACAGAGAAGTCCACTGTACAGTCACAAACCAAACCTGGATCCATCTACCTTCACCTCTAAAAACACAGCACAACCTATCTACAACCTGTCCAACACTGTACGGCCCAACAGCAAGATGATGGATGCGGTGAGTTTAATACTGGGTCCCAGTCCAATCAAGTGCCTCCTTACTCTTTGCCAGAGATTTTCTTATAATGGGAGACTGCAAACTCAGGTTTTTTAGCATTGAAATAAGCACAATAGTAAAGTTGGATCTAACCCTAACCCTAAGTTGGATCTATCCATCAGTATATTCCTCAAAACACTTTATCGTCTGCAGTCGTGGGAAGTTGGATCATGTGCACTTTATAAGCAAAAAAGATACAGCACCCTGACATCATTGAAAGGTTTTCTAAAATGTATAGTCAGTTAATGTTGACAAAGACCATTGGAATAAATGTAAATGTGCTATAAATTAATCCTACCTGTCACTCTAAAATGAGTGTTTTGGAAAACATGAATAGTCAATTTATTTACATTTTTTTCCTCATGCATTTATGTTTTACACAAAAGCTATATATATATATATATATATTAAAAGTTTGGAAACATTATTATTGTTTTTGTTTTTGAAAGAAGTCTCTTATGCTCATAAAGGCTGCATTTATTTGATCAAAAATACAGAAAAAACCCCAGTGATATTGTGAAATTTATTACAGTTTAAAATAATAGCTTTCTATTTTAATATACTTTAAAATATAATTTATTTCTGTGATGCAAAGCTGAATTTTCATCAGCCATTACTCCAGTCTTCAGTGACACATGATCCTTCAGAAATTATTTTAATATGCTGATTTATTATCAATGTTGGAAACAGTTGTGCTGCTTAATATTTTTTTATAACCTGTGATACTTTTTTTCATGATTCTTTGATGAATACAAATTTAAAAAGAACAGCATTTTAAAAAAAAGAAAGAAATATTTTGAAATATACACTACCATTCAAAAGTTTGGGGTCAGTCATTTTTTTCTTTCTTTTTTAAAGAAATTAATATTTTATTCAGCAATATTAAATTTATAAAAAGTGATAGTAAAGATTTATATTGTTAAAAAAGATTTTTATTTTGAATAAATGCTGTTCTTTTTAACTTTTTATTTAACAATGAATCCTTAAGAAAATATCACAGGTTCCAAAAAAATATTAAGCAGCACAACTGTTTCCAACATTGATAATAACTGAGTATCAAATCAACATTTCTGAACTGCTGAAAATTCAGCTTTGCATCACAGAAATAAATTATATTTTAAAGTATATTAAAATAGAAAACCATTATTTTAAACCGTAATAATATTTCACAATATTATATATATATATATATATATATAATATTTCACAATATTATATATATATATATATATATATACACACACACACACACACTGCTTAAAAAATTAACAAGTATAATAATTTAAAATGTACATATATAATTTTTTTATTATTATTTTATCCACACATTTATTATGTTTCCACACAAAAGCAGTTTACTCGGGCAATTATGGCATTTTCTTTTTTCCAAAAATGGCACATGGTTTTGACCAGAGATTTTTGTCTCCCCCTGGAGGAGGGTGTTTGTTAAGCTCCAGAAGTCCTATGTGAGCATGTAATGTGATTGGATGATATATTTGTGTGTTTGTGAGTAGGAGGGGCTTACCGAGGAGAGGAAACTGCAAGCAGTAATTGAGCAGGTTATGGTGGACCAGCTGTCGAGGTCAGTTTCTCTCTCGCTCTCCTCTCTGTTCCATTTTTGTCAGTCTGGGGTTAGTAATAATGTCGTGAGGGTTCTCTGATACTCACGCAGGGCTGTCATTAGCGATCCGGAACAGAATGCTGTGTCTGCCAGTCCCACGAGTGTCCCACCACGCTACAGGAGAACTCTTCACCACACTAAGTAAAACCCACACACATACATGACTCAGATACAAAACGCTCTTTCTCCCCTTCTGTCTCATACTCATAGGTTTGGAGAAGGTCACAGTGGTTATGTCCCCACTTATATTTTTTGTTTTTGTATTTATATAGTATATATATATATATATATATATATATATATAAGGTTTTGCTTAGAAAAGCACTACTATTATTATTCCGTTATTGCTCATACTTGGGGTTACTGATTTGAACAAACCAATAACCAGCCGCATGTCAGCATAAAAAAACACACAAAAAAAACACTCAAACACCCTCACAACCACATAGCAACGCCTTTGCAACCACCCACAAGCACACAATAATCGTGATGGTAAGTTTTGCAAGAACCACTCACGTTTTGTTAAGAAAATATAAAAATCTATTTTCAGTATAGTACACACATAAAAGTAAAGATTTCAATTAGAATTTCTGAAATATTGTTGACTCTTATGACAAATTGCTTGGGATGTTCCTCATTTGTAAGTCACTTTAGATAAGTGGTTCTCAAACCTGAACCCCTGGCCCCCTGAACACAATATTTAAAAGAAAAAGATCAGTCGGATTGATTTTAATGCTTTTGATGCTTTTCGATAAAAGCATATGCTAAATCAGAAAACTGAGGTTTGTGAATCCTTGGGTGTTTGTGAGGGAACTGCAGGGGGTTCAAGAGTTGATGAAAAGCTAATTATTAATTAAAAAGTTATGGATATTAGTACATTTGCGTTTCTAGTAGCTTTTTAGTTAATACAGTCTAGCAAAATTATCGACCGTGATTCAAGGATGTAGAATGAGTTTGTGATTTTTGTTTTATTGTGAAGTGTTTCACCACCTGAAACTGTTTAAGAACCATTGCTTTAAAATTTACATTTATTATTTTAGCACAGTGATTCACAAACTTGAACCCCTTTGACAAAATGTCAGGGGGTACTTCCAAGTAAATATTTGAAGCTAATATTTCAATAATATAACACCATATTCGCATGTTCATGGTTTTCTGATTTCGATTAATAGTCACCTGAAATGCTGGTAAACAATTAAAATATTTCATATATTTTAGTAAGTGTTTATTTTTATTGGTTTCAATTTAAAATTGTTGTTTTATAAAAATAAAAATAAACGTATTTAAATGTAATTTTAATATCCAACGAACTAGTATGTTTGTTAAAGAAAGAAACTGAAAATAGCGCCTGCTAACATTTTGCTCCCTTTGATAAAACTGTGATTTGTGATATTTAGGTTTTTGTTTTGTATCTACAGGGTAAAAACTCGGATGTCTTTAACGGAGAACACCTTATCCAACAAGCTCTGTTTTCAAGCTAGGATTTTATCAAGGTAGTTATAGTATTGTGATGGAGATTCAACTCATTTTTTGGCGTTTTATTTTGTAATGCGTATGTGTTTGATTTATAGGTGTGGACGTGAGGCTTGCCGAAAACTGATTGGCTTCTTTTTCACATGTGACCAAACACTGACCGTGTACGAGTACCGAAATTTTGGGAAAAACAGGTCAGGCTATGATGCTTCAACACATCACTGTTTGCTCATACTACATATTTTCCCTCCAAATTTAGGTGTTTTTGTAAAGTTAAATGTTAATCGAAACTCTTTCAGATGGAACGCGTTGCCCTTTATCGCTCGTGGTGTGTATTTGAACAGAGGGAGGCCGTACTGCCTTCAAGACATCTCACAGGTTCGACACTCATCTTCTTTCACACACTCACGAATAACAATAATTCATCAACACTCTGCCTGCATCTCCCAGGGTGCCGAGCTTAAATTCTGTACAGACGACCCACACCTCCCCCAAAGTCTGAGACACCAGCCGTGCCTGACTCTCAGAGTTACTGATGTGGATGACACAGCCAAGGGAGCCCTGCTGTATGTACCACTCACACACATATGTACATGAGTGCACAAGTTAGAGTACTGAGTGTTTCTTTTGCACAGAACTCAGTCTGGGGAAGGTCTACATTGTCTCTCTGAAGAGGAAATCAATGATCGAAACACTTTAAAGGCAATTCAAGGTTAATCCTTAACACGCATTCGCTCTTGCACACAAACATTTTTTTCAAATGCATTAGCATTCATCCAAAATGTCCACCCACACATGAGGCATGTCATTTTTTATGTTAAAATTAGGCTAATTTTAATCAAATTATTTACATGATATGCCAATCAGTTGCATTCACTACCGTCAGTCGGATGAGATTTTTTAAATGTCTCTTATGCTCACCAATGCTGCATTAATTAGATAAAATGCAATAAAACAGTAAACAGTAATAAAACCATTTAAAATACAGGTTTTTTATTTTAATATATTTTATAAATGTAATTTACTCCAGTGATCATTACTCCAGTCTTTAGTGTCACATGACATGATCCTTCAGAAATAGTTTTTGTAGAAATTGTGATTTTAAAGAATAGAAAGTTGTGACCCCAAACTTTTGAATGGTAACGTATATCAATATTTGCTATACGCTGTGGGTTTCCTAAATGAAGATATATTAAGAGCATTAAAGAAATTACATTATTGTGTCAGACAAATAAATAAACCTGTTGAATAGACAAAAAAAGGCTTTAAAAATCAATATATCTATTTTTGTGCATATCATTGCAACTGGCCAACAACCCACTTTGAAATCGCATTTATAGGTCTTACACTGAGCATCACATTTTAAGATTTAAAAAGCTGTATTGAGTTACCTGAAATTACACACTTCACCTTAAAGTGACCTTGTACTTTTGATGGCACATTAATCATTAACCAGTCACAGTAAGCTTGACAAGGAATCCAGTGCTCTGATTGGTGGATGTTTTTGCAGGTGCAGTGCGCGATCGGCTGAGGGGACATGCGATCCAAACCCTAATCAATCTAGTAAGGGATCTGCAGAACTTAGATATAAAGACTGATAGTGTTCAGCAAAAAGTTCTGCTCAGACAATTTCTGATGGAGCAACTGTGCCTTACTCAACAGGTAAAGAGAAAAAATCTCATAAAACATGTTTAAAAATGTAAAAGAAATCTATCTATCTGAAAGGAGACTGTAGGAAAGCACCAGGCATGTTGATGTAGAACATAATGTGAGAGTGCTGAGCCGTTACATTAGCGTGTGCTGTGTGTGATAGGACTTTGAGGCGGTGTGGAGGATTGTGGGTCGGCGTGCAGAGAGGCGGGTGCACCCCGCTGATGTGATGCGTGCCGTTACTGGGGAGATGAGCGAGAACAGAAAAGCCGTTTTCCTGAAGGTGACAGACCAGCCGGACTGCTTTCGTCCTCCAGAGGACGCCGTTGAGCTCTGTGAGTTATTGAATTTCCTTGTAGGCCATTTGCTAATGTTCCTATCTTTTCTCTGTTTTTAGGTTTATGTAAAGCTTGACCCAAATAAAACCGGCTCCATCTTCCTGAGCGATATTGAAAAATTCTATAGAGGCAAACAAGAGTCTGACGCTGCACACGGTGAGCCACGGATCATTTAGTCTCTTGCACACAGGCAGCAGCTATTGAAGTCATGTTTATTCAGTGTCGGTCAATATTTCATGACAAACTATGAATGTTGGTAACGTGTGATACTTCAGTATTTATTTCCGGAAAGGCTATATAGTTCACTTTACAGATGCACTTATAAAGGCAATGGTAAAACAAACTCACGCATGGGCAACATGGATGACTGATGTTTATGAAGATATTACTGTATCATTCTTATTTCGGACTGTTGACAGAAGCCGTTCCGAAACCTGACATTCTGGCCTTCGTACGGGAAGCAGGAAAGGTCACCAAGACTGTGTCATATGCTGAGTTTGAGGACTATTACGAGGGTCTAAGTATTGAAATCTCTGATGATGAAGAATACATCAACAATCTGAGAGCTACCTGGAGTATCTGAGACTATCTGACTATTTTATAGAATGCAGGGTTTCCGCGGGGTCATAAAAAGTCATAAAACGTCTTAAATTTAATAATAAGAATTTTAGGCCATAAAAACGTCCGGTTTTTCCATACAAGGTCATAAATTACATTTAGCCACGTCTTAAATTGATATGCTCATTCATTCATTATCGCGATATAATGTTTTCTCTATAAAACGATATCAAGAGTTCGATAAATGTTAGATCATGTTTATGCGCCAAAAGCGGAACGAAACTCATTTGAACCGCGCGCGCCTCACGGAGCGTTTATCCGCTCGGCTCAAAGTCCAAACGGCAGCGTAGCTCGATCAAGCTCACTAGAGCAGACGCGTTCTTCTACTGTCTATGGTTAACTTTGATCAGTCTCGATCACGAGATCCAGTGAGAAGCACTTGAATTCAGCGAAGAACACAAATGTCTCAGTGATTTAAACCAGTTTAAAGGCAGATGAAACCGCGCTGACGAACAGGAGAAACACTGTGCGCAACTATACAGTCAGAAAGCTTTTCCATCTACACATTTACATCCTTTACCATGGTTTTACTGTAACGTTAGCCTAGTAATATTAACTGCACCATGAAATGTGGGATACACATTGAATTGTATTATATTATTAATGTAGACAATGTATTAAAGGACTAATGGAATATAATTACAGTATTTATGTATTTAGGCTATAGCCTACTGTTTTTCATACATTTCATAAAGATACGTGCCATCAAAGTCAGGCAACACAAACCTGTTTCAAGACTTGAAACAATATCCCCCATTAGCACATGCAGAAACTAAGAAATAAATTTTGAAATAAAGATATTATTTTTGTTAAGGAAAAAATACAAATGTTTGAATGTTCTACCTCAGATTTGTGAAATGTTCACCTGTTTGGCAAGTGTTTGTCATGATATGTTTTGACAATAAAGAGTAGTTTAAAACCACAATTAACGCTCTGGTTTCTACAACTTTCAGTTGGGAACAAAAATCTGCCTTCAAAGTTCAAAGAAATAAAGAATTGACATTTATCGTCATAATTATCGATATTGACTGATATATTATCGTGATAAGTGTTGTGTTGTTCCTGTGTTATTGATACTTAGGAAAAGGGAGCCTTCAGTTTGTTACTCTTAAGAAAATGGAACCTTTAAATAATTAAACTTATTACTTTTAATGAAAGTCAATAAAAAAAGACTTTTGAAAGGAAGTTATTTTTCGTAATTCGAGTAGGTCATAAATTTAAATCATATTGGTCATAAAAAGGTCTTAAAAGGTCTTAAATTTGACTGACTAAACCCTGCAGAAACCCTGGAATGACACTTTCTGAACACGAGTAAAATATTGAGCTTTTATGTACTGTACAAACTATAATATGTTTGTTATAGGTTTTGCTTTGTTGCAGCTAAATGTAAAGTCACTTTATATTACTCCTCATTCATATTGCTTCGACATGATACAATGTAAAATACTGCTTAAAATAATGGGGTCAGTACTTTATTTTTTAAAAGAAATTAATACTTTTATTCAGCTAGGATGTCTTAAATAGATCAAAAGTGACAGATAAGTGCTTTCTATTCTTTAACAAAAAAATGTTTCACGTTTTCCAAAAAGATTAAGCACAAAATTTGATTTTTGAGCATCCAATCAGCATATTAGAATGATTTCAGAAGGATCATGTGACACTAAAGATTGGTGTAATGATGCTAAAAAAATTCAGCTTTGCAGTCACAGGAATAAATTACATTTAAAAATATAAAACAAAATAGTTATTTTAAATTGCAGTAATATTTCACAAATATTAAACAAATGCAGCCTTCATGTGGAAATTTTTAAAACTACTGCGTGGATTGGCACATGCTAACAAGTTTTAAATTATAAATTGATGTTTAAAAATATGTTGTATTGATTTTATTCATCTACCATAATATATGTACACATAAGAACCTTAATATGAAAGGCTATGCAAAAAAATTCACAGATGAATCATGTCCAATATGGACATATATGCATCAAAATATATGCATCAAAAATATATATATATGCATCAAAAGTCGATTTGTGTCTGTTTATGGAAGCTTTCCTTCTGTGTCAATGGCCATTAGACAGTCCATTCCCAGATCCATTAGAGTATGTGTGCGTATAGTCTTCCTCAGAGCCCTCCTCATTCTCTTCTTCATCACTGCGCTCATCACCCTTTAGCTGAAGAGAAAGACAGAGAATTAATCTTGTGCATTAAGTGTGTACATGTTTTTCAACCCTCTACCAAAAATTATCTAAATCAGAATATGATGTGAAAAATCTTATTTGAATAATAATGAATACTAACATTGCCGAAGAGAAACTTTTTGACCATGCGGAGGATCAGGGAGGCCCAGAACACGTGCAATAACAGCAGCACCACAAGCATGACGTTAAAGAAATAATAGCCGAAAAAGGGTTCAAACTGGTCCAGAGGATACACCCACGTACAGTGGATCAGCCTGCACACATGACATGGACACACAATTTAACCCTATGTAACCCTAAAATCTCCCACACATTTACCTCCATCACACACTTACCAGAAAGGGAAGATGATGAGTCTGGTTACCATGAAGACCAGAGCGAACACCACAAATATACTGTTGCAGGTCGTCTCCCATCCAGCATAGTTAAACATCTTAGCAGACTTAAAGAAACAGATAAACAACAACCTTTAACACAAAATACCCTATACATATACATAAAATGCTACCGTTCAAAGGATTTTCAGCATCATTACTTTAGTCTTCAATGTCACACAATCCTTTATGTTGAAAATAGTTGTGCTGCTTGATTTTTTATAAGGATTCTTTAATGAATAAAAAAAATAAAAAAACAGCTTTTGTTTTTAAACAGAAAAAAATACATATTCTTGCTGGCTTTATTTTTTGGGTGATCTTTTCTTCCACTATTTCACTCTCTCTCACACCTCAAGTAGGACATCAGATGTGTCATGGACCAGCATGACCAGTGTGCCAATGCGGATGTAGTTTGCACACCAGGAGAAGGAGAGCAGAGTTAAAGTGGCCCAATGATGGACCAACTGCTCCTTAAAGTCCTACAAATAGAGAGAAATAGAGCTCTATAAACCTTGACAGACATATCTCTTAAGATATGGCCATTTTAATATATCATATTATCAGTTATTTACAAATTGCATCAAATTTCTCCAAAAGCATATTATTTGAATAAATGCAAGACATTGGATTCCATTTATTAAACCTTAAAGGGACACTATGCAGCTTTTTTAGCTTAACTGAACAGCTTCAGAGTTATTGAAATGGTTATATAACTTCTTTCGGGTTGAATGGTGGGCGTCTCGACCCCCCCTGGTGCCTGTGAGCGCAAAAATCTCACTTGCAACTTCGGTGCGGCGGGCCGCGTCAGGAAGTATCGCGTGATATCAGCTCTCGCGATGTAACATATTCCTTTACGGCAACTGCACACATACACACAGGAACAAGGTATAGATGGATGGAGTTTGTCACAATATAGTCATGGCTGAGCCGGCATATAAGATGCAGAAAGCTAGGAAAGCATTGTCGGAGGAACAGAGAAAGAGGAAACGGCAGACTGACCGAGCGAGGAGTCGGACACGAGCATAGGCATAATTTGCGGGTGTGTTATGTCCCCATTGAAACTTCTCGCGGCACGGATGTACCATTACAAACAAATAAAACATCTCCAGGTAACTCTAGTAGAGCATTCATTTCGTTCGTTTGTTAAATAAGAGGCGATCTGAAATGTGTTATTTTTGAAATCAAGTGACCAAAGTGCTCGTTGCCTCTGCGATCAGTGGTGCAGATAAGTTACAGTGTTCTGTTGTGACGCGCGCCTGAATCCGTTGCGGGGACTGAGAGACTCTCTATATTTTGTTATGGTGAAATCACAAAATCTAATGCACAAAAAACATATCCCTGCTTGAAATACAACCACTAATAAACAATCGGTTTTGATGAGGAAAATAAACTATACTACTAGTACCGATTAGAACCCAGAACCTCTGACACACTTGGCAAAAGTTCTGCCTCTGGACCATTAAAATTGTCGGATCTATGTATTTAATCACGTGAAAATTCTCACCACTAACAACATATATTATATCTCATTAAACGACAAATTAAACACAATGTACTATTGTATACTGTGAGTGGTATTTACGACAGTAACGTTAAATTCAAGTACTCCACAGTAACTCTAGGGGTCGCTGTTTGACAAAAACGGGATTTCTGCATAATGCCCCTTTAATGCACTGAACTGCATGACTTATTGGATTATAATGACTTGTAACTTAGTGTAAAGTAACTTGTTTATGTTATGACGTTAATAGTAGTGCTACCTGCAGGCTAGTTGATAAAGAGTGTTTGTTTATGACCTTGATGTGACCTTACCGATCTCATATTCATTCATACATTTTTAAGTGATATAGATAGTGAAATACTCATAACTGATAAGGTGAACTTGAGATACTGATATTGGTGCATCCTTACCTTCCGTTTGACATCTGCAGCCACACTGAACAGTAAAGAACCATAAAAACTCATCTCAATGATGTAATACCAGTATTGAGAGTCCAGCAGTGACTACACACACACACACATATAGAAACACAAAAAACAAACATTTAAAAACCAACCGCCATACAAACATGCCTGCACAAACACAACCCTCCTGGAACAACATGCAAATATTCAGACTGGTTTTCACTGTGCTATTTTTTTTAAAACACTATGAGAAAGTAGTGTTGTTTAAACTTCCTTAAGTTACACTTACTTGTTTGGGAAATACTGCCCACACTTCCCGTAGATCATAAAACCATGGTTTCTGTTGCACAAAATAACATAATTCAAAGTTTATTTATTTTTATAACCAAATAATACCATTAAATAAAATAAACGAATTGATTTCAAAGTTTATAAGCGGTGAGGATTTTTCAGTGATTCTTTCTCCAAGTTACATCGTTGTGCCATTAGGTGGCGACAAGTGAATGATTCATTGGATCGTTTTAATCAACAGATTCGTTAAAAAAACCCCCCAAAAAACGCCCCCTGTGCCCTTAAATAGCATCGACTATCAAATACTTCCCTATTGTATGCGAAAAACAGTATGCAAACAGAGTAGTATGTCTGAATTCATAGCATCAAAAAAAAAAAACAGTAGGCGAAAAGTACCCCGATGACTTACTACTTCCGACGAGATTCTAAAGTGATTACGATGAACACTTTACCATTCTACCGGATTTATGAATGGAAGTGAAACAACTCAACCTATTTTTTACAGTCTATGAACTCAACTGATGCTGGTAGGTCATGTGACAGTGACAACATGGCGGATGTAGTACGTCCGAGAGGTGCGTACCAATTTGCGTACTTATCCACATTATATGCTGTTTTGTAGCATAAATAGCACGAGTAATATGTTCACACTGAAAATTCCAAAAAGAAAAAGTACCAGATGATGCATATAAATTACCGGGGAAAAAAGAAGTGTGGAATGTTGGACACGTCATGTACTCAGCAGCTTTAATTAAGTAGCGGTGGGGAGGGGCTATCATTCTCCGATGTTGAATGAAAAAATAACCTTATAACTTTATATCTAGTCCATACATTACACGGCTGAGTACATAGTGCATAAGTACATAGTGTATAAGTGCATAGATCATAGTATGTCATTTGGGACACAACTCATAACTATTTTTTTCAACGGTCGAGAAGTAAATTCAAATGTAGTACATACTCAGTACGCAATTTCAGACAGATTCATTCGGCAACGAAACGAGCAGTGAATCACTAAATCATTCACTCACCCTACTTATTCGAAACACTGATTCATTTAGTGTGTGTTGCTCAGATATAGTCCGGAAAGTATGGATCCATCCGGAAAAAATGAGTAGCTGGCAATAGTGTGTCTAAAATGTAGGTTTTTATAAAAGCAATATCATAGGCTGCTCACACTCATGCCGTTGACCTGCACTTTTGCACGACGACATTGTTTAATTATTGGTTCTTCAAAACAACAAATTGATTTCTGTGTTCTTCAAAGCGTCAACACACAACTCTGTGTGTGTTTGGGTGTGTGCAGGGCCTGTCCATGCGTGTTATTGTGGCCATTTGTGGATCTTTCTATCAGGATGGAGCTGTTCACAGGCGGGGAAATGTTACTAATTACCCCTCAGGCATTTCTCACAAACACACATGCTGATTCACGGCTTCTCCTGAGAATCTCTGCATGTGCTGTAACACACACACACACTTACACCCAGCTGTTTGGAGGTCATTCAGGTGTTCAGATACAGTCTGAGGTCTGTATATACAGCAAAAAACACTTACATCATATAAAGCCAACACGCCTCCGAAAGACGAACACAGATAAAAGGCAAACCGCCAACTACAAAAAAGAAAATACTCTTGTTAATAACAAATATACACTCACCTAAAGGATTATTAGGAACACCATACTAATACTGTGTTTGACCCCCTTTCGCCTTCAGAACTGCCTAAATTCTACGTGGCATTGATTCAACAAGGTGCTGAAAGCATTCTTTAGAAATGTTGGCCCATATTGATAGGATAGCATCTTGCAGTTGATGGAGATTTGTGGGATGCACATCCAGGGCGCGAAGCTCCCGTTCCACCACATCCCAAAGATGCTCTATTGGGTTGAGATCTGGTGACTGTGGGGGCCATTTTAGTACAGTGAACTCATTGTCATGTTCAAGAAACCAATTTGAAATGATTTGAGCTTTGTGACATGGTGCCTTATCCTGCTGGAAGTAGCCATCAGAGGATGGGTACATGGTGGCCATAAAGGGATGGACATGGTCAGAAACAATGCTCAGGTAGGCCGTGGCATTTAAACGACGCCCAATTGGCACTAAGGGGCCTAAAGTGTGCCAAGAAAACATCCCCCACACCATTACACCACCACCAGCCTGCACAGTGGTAACAAGGCATGATGGATCCATGTTCTCCTTCTGTTTAGGCCAAATTCTGACTCTACCATCTGAATGTCTCAACAGAAATCGAGACTCATCAGACCAGGCAACATTTTTCCAGTCTTCAACTGTCCAATTTTGGTGAGCTCTTGCAAATTGTAGCCTCTTTATCCTATTTGTAGTGGAGATGAGTGGTACCCGGTGGGGTCTTCTGCTGTTGTAGCCCATCCGCCTCAAGGTTGTGCGTGTTGTGGCTTCACAAATGCTTTGCTGCATACCTCGGTTGTAACGAGTGGTTATTTCAGTCAAAGTTGCTCTTCTATCAGCTTGAATCAGTCGGCCCATTCTCCTCTGACCTCTAGCATCAACAAGGCATTTTCGCCCACAGGACTGCCGCATACGGGATGTTTTTCCCTTTTCACACCATTCTTTGTAAACCCTAGAAATGGTTGTGCGTGAAAATCCCAGTAACTGAGCATATTGTGAAATACTCAGACCGGCCCGTCTGGCACCAACAACCATGCCACGCTCAAAATTGCTTAAATCACCTTTCTTTCCCATTCTGACATTCAGTTTGGAGTTCAGGAGATTTTCTTGACCAGGACCACACCCCTAAATGCATTGAAGCAACTGCCATGTGATTGGTGGATTAGATAATTGCTTTAATGAGAAATTGAACAGGTGTTCCTAATAATCCTTTAGGTGAGTGTACACGTTTGAAAAAAGGAGAAGGTCAAATATGGTCAATCATGAAAGTTTGTTTAGTGTGTGTAAATATACCTGGCTTCTTTGAATTTCTTTAGTACTGCGGGTCTGTCTTGGTTCCTCCGAATGCGGAACCAGCGCTCCACTTGCCTTTCCGACCAGCCCAACTTTTTACACACACCTTTTATATCCGCCTAATTACATGACACACACAAACATTCCTAGACACATAAACTTCATATGTCAGTATGTGCCGGCCTTACATGTACTGTACCAGCGAATAGGACATACTGTATGTTTCTATGAAATGTTATTCTTTTGTTGAAGCCTGTTTTTATATATAATGCATTACAAAAGGAATTCTTAATGTAATCTAAAGATATTTGTAATGCCTTATAAAATACATATTGTAGTACGTTATGTTTTCATAACTCAACTACAGTTATAATACATTATAGTATGTACCTACACATGGTCGCACCTTTAAAGAATCTAATGTATATTAAAACATAAAATTTTGTTTGAATCATGTTTTAAAACATACTGTTTATGTTCAAGGCTTTATTATAATGTATTGCCAATACTGTTACAATAATTAATGAAAACATTTAACATATCAGGAATAGTATTATACTTTATATATAAATGTTTTATTGAAGGTAAATCTTATTTTTATTAAAGATTACGAATAATTATGTGCACAGATAAATCATTAATAATAAATACTGCAATATTCCATAAAAAATAAGTTTTGATTTCATGGTGACTTTAATTGTGATTCCCATAAGACAATCATTTATTTCGGAAACAATGATTTATTATTATTGTTATGATTGTCATTTAAAGAAATAGAAGTCTGAAAATTTGATTTTTTCACATTACAGTAACAAAATTTGAACTAATCTGTACTATTTGCTTCACAGAACACCTGTGCTTCCCTCTATTTATCTACTTGTGTGTTCTAACATGTAACTGTCATGTGTGGTCTCATCTGACAGTTTAGAAACTGAATAGTATTGTGGTGAACTAAATAGAAAAAGTATTCTAACGTACAATTTAGGAACTATTGCTTAAACATGCATTGAGGAGAATATGTCGTGTGCTTCTGCCCTATTGGTCACCACCCATTTTCCTCAGTGTTGTAGTACTCAAGACCGTCTCGAGTCATTTTTTGAAGGTCATGATCTCGTCTCAGTCTCGACCGCATTTGTACTCGGGCTTATGGTCTCAGACTAAGGACTCGGGATTTTATTTTAAGACAGGTCAAGACTACAACTGCAGGCATATTACTAAATTGCTGGTGCATTATATGATTTATTTGTTAACATCATTACTGTGATTGGATGTAAATCTTCCCGTTTCAAATTGGATTTCTTTTGTTACCAATGTGCCGGGTCAGAAATCAAAGAGGGTGATGATGAAACATGTCAAGATATGATTGCATAAAAAGTCTGCATGTATGAGATCTTGATTTTTATACTGTAACATATGATATTTAAGTAATATCACAAGAGCAAGAGAGCTGTTTCCACAAATATGTGCACAATTGCACATGTGATTTTGAGTTTCAGATATACAAATGTTGAATAAACAAAATTTATTTTTAACATTAAAATCTCAACATTATTTATGCAGTTGTAATTGTACCAATTTAGATGCAGCTTCTGTGCCAAAGATGAATTTAGTTGTTAGTGATTTCATTTGATTGGTAACAGGCAGCTATATTAAAGTGTCTTATTATTCAAATATAATTTATTGATTTAAATATAAGACATTTAGTCATTTCCAGGCAGTAGATGCGGATCTTTTAGATCAATTTGAGGAGTGTTCCATTTTTTTGTCTGTATATTTAAACATCATAAATAACTTTGCCTCCTTTAAAGGCTTTGAGAATCTTATCTGTTAGGCTACTACTGATAATTTTGAAGGCAAAAGTAATTGTAACTTTCGTTATCTAAACCTTTAGGTTAAATCCTACGTTTTCATATCAGTTCTAAGAACGACTTTTACCCTTAAAGAATAACAACAACTTAAAAGCGCCGTTTAAATGATTGAATTATGCATGTCATCCTTCAACTGCTTTTTGTTCTGATTATTGATACAATCTTAAAATAAATATACTTCTGATTGCTTACAATTATTTTAATTAATTCAACACAAAGTAAAAAAAAAAGGCCCTTAAAATAATCTTAATTTTCTTTACAAAAAATAAATAAATTGGGGGTGACGTGATCTGGACCTGTTCCAGATTAAATACATTTAAAAAGCATTATATACACTGGCTTCAAGTAATCCGATCACTGTTCAAGCGTTGTGTTTGGGATGTTACCTGTATTGGATGTTTAGAGTGTGTTTTGTAGTATTCTTCCAGCACTGGATTGTGTGATGCTCTCTTGCGATTTTTGTCTCTAACCCCAAGAGCCTCAGCGAGCGGCCCCGCGATCAGCCTATTGAATGAGGGGAAGGCAGTGAAGGCACAAAGAGTGATGCCTTCTCCTGCTGTTAACCAGAAACCGTTCACTGCACTTTAACAAATATAACAACACATAATGTAAATGTTTTTTTGTTCTTAATTAGCTTAAGCAGTAAAGCTTCCTTGGCCAACTGGCTTTACCAGCTTCAGTTTTGCTGATGAACAGCATGGATATACGAGTCCACCAGAGCCAAATCAGCAAAAACCAGCATGTATATTAATGCTGATGTAAGCTGGTCTTTTCAATATCATTTAGCTTGTGTGTGTGTGTGTGTGTTTGTACCTTTCATATAATGCCCTTAAACCTAGCAGCAGTACTGCTACAGGTAGAGTGACGTACAAGTGGGACACGCGGGCGTAGACACACCCCTCACTGTCCTCTAGGTCCGCCCACGTCACCGGCCTCGGCAACCACAGCCGATCCCACCAAAACCACTCCCCGAGCATCGCCCTGTGAAAAACACAAAAACATCTACATTTATTCATTCAGCAGAAAGGGAGAAAGAGAAATCTGGAGGTTGTAAAGCAATTGTCAATGAAATGATTTGAATGGAACTGAATAGAATGTTTGGGTCTGTTTTTCCACACTATCGTAGTATTATGCAGTAGCTACTGTAATAGGATACCTCAGTCCCTGAGCACAAAAGAAAAAAATGAACAGACACCTGCAAAATTTACTGGAACACTGTGCATTTAAACGTGCTTGCGTCACAAAAGAAAATGTGACGTGTTTAAAAGTGTCCGAAATATTAGCGTGAGACTATATTAATGAAATATAGAATTGACATGCAAATACTCAAATCTACGATAACATGCAGAAAGAGTGTGTGGCTGTGTGAAAAAGAGTTTTGAACAGACAGACAGTAGACATTAGTCTATTAAGTCTCGCTGGGAGTATCCGAATCTGGACTTACATAAAGTAATTCAGACTCACTTTTAAGTCTAAGAGACTCAATCTGAAAAGCCGACAGCTAAATGGAACAATGCTATCTAGTATTAGTGATAGTATAAATACAGTAACTTGAGCTACACTGCTTTCGCCCCTGCTTGAATCAGAGTCTTGCGCTTTTGTCTTCAGTGTTATACAAGATTCATTATTTTGTATCACACAAAAGACAAAAGCACAAGACTTTTGTACACTAGTCTGATTCAAGCAGCATTTTGTTGGAGTGAAATCAGTGTAGCTCAAATGACTGTATGAATTCTTATAGTGAGTGTTGACTGTTTATGGTTACCATGACAAACAGATGCACATAACATGCCAAAGACTGAGAAACACATGCCAAACAGAAAGAAATCCATACCTTCTTTTGCTCTCAGATTTGTCCTTTTCTAGATTTTACACAGTTCTCTCTCTCCTTCTGTTGTAATTCTGTTCACACACACACACATACACACCTTTAAGCTGATCCTCCAGAGTTGTGCCCAGTCCAGATGAATCCGCTAGGTACTAACGGAACAAGTGAACTCTCTCACTCTCTCTCTCTCTCACACACACACACACACACACACACTTTCACCGCATACCTCAACCCCCCCACAAAGAGCTCATTGAACCGCCTGAGAGTGTGTGTCTTGAAAGAGGGCCAGAGAACTGGATATGTGGGAGGGGCCACAATCACCTCAGGTAGATCGAGTCAAAGAAAGGCTGTTAGAGAGAGAGGACATGAACCTTGAAATATTGCATGCTCTAAACAGGTTAATAACTCACAAGGTGAATAAGAGAAATGTTCTATTTGTTCTGACATTTCTTACTTGCAGTGTGTGTTTTAGTTCTTATTTACATTTAGGCACCTGGCAGATAAGCTTTTATTTAAAGCGACTTACATGTTTTTGTTCAAGCTATACAAGGTTTTTTCAGTGTGTGCAATACCTGAGAGTCAAAACTGTGACCTTGGTGTTGTTAAGGTCATGTAATACAAGTGGAATTACAGGAAAACAAGTTATCGGTTCTCAATAACTTGTGAGAGATTTGGTAAGAAAGCATCACTTACACTAGTCAAAATCCAGGAATGTGATTCCTGCTACATCATAATTTTGAAACAAATAAAAATAATACTTATGGAATTTACAGGATTCCAACACAAAACAAAACATAGATATTTTAGAACACTGTAGTTTGTGCTTTTATGATTAGCAATGTGCCGAAATGCCGATGCAGGACATTAAAAGGAATTTAAAGAAAATTGTTTAGGATTTTTAAACTCCTATAGCGCCTCCTGTAGGATTTCTTTTAACTGTACATAGGCTATTACTAGGAACGAGACAGTTAAAATGCAATACTTATCAAAGTATGCTAATCAAAAGATCTTAAAGTGTGTAAAGAATTTCTATCAAAATTTGGAACCAATACAAATATTTTCCATTGGAAATAATTTGAATCAAACTGAAATATTTTACAGGATCCTTTAAGTCCTACTGGATATTGTGCAATCTTTATCAGAACATGTCTTACTACTGCAGAGATAAAGGATATCCCAGTTTTATTTAAATTAATTTTAATATCCTATCCTTCAAATGTATTTTATTCTATTGATAATCATAATAGTTTTTGGTGTGTTATGTTGTAATCCTATCAGTATTCTTTAGTTCCAAAGTATGGTCTAATAGGAATTTTGACTACAGTTAATACTAATTAATACTTTTTAATATGTATCATAAGAATAAAACTGAACTTTTAAAATCAGAGCTTAGGAACATTTCTGTTGGATCCTTTAGGATTGGTTCCTTTGGACATTTCCTTAAGATTTTTACTAGGGGAAAAGTCCTGTATGTGGTAATGCAGTACAGAAGAAATCTTTTCTCACTGTGGCTCCACCTGTATTTACTAATTTGAGCATGACTGACTGGATCCTGGTCCTTTGTCTCACTGGTGTCCCAGCCCTTATACTGTCTCTTGGCGTAGGTTTGCTGTCTCCATCTAGTGGTGGTCAACAATACAGCATTTAGATGGTCAGTCAGTATCACCGTAATTCAACACAGGGGTCAAGGTGTTGTTAGTTGGTAAGCATGATCAAGTTAGATGGTAGATGCCGTAACTACTGCATTATGGGCCATATACACTCACCGGGCACTTTATTAGGTACCCCATGCTAGTAACGGGTTGGACCCCCTTTTGCCTTCAGAACTGCCTCAATTCTTCGTGGCATAGATTCAACAAGGTGCTGGAAGCATTCCTCAGGGAGTTTGGTCCATATTGACATGATGGCATCACACAGTTGCCGCAGATTTGTCGGCTGCACATCCATGATGCGAATCTCCCGTTCCACCACATCCCAAAGATGCTCTATTGGGTTGAGATCTGGTGACTGTGGAGGCCATTTTAGTACAGTGAACTCATTGTCATGTTCAAGAAACCAATTTGAAATGATTAGAGCTTTGTGACATGGTGGAAGTAGCCATCAGAGGATGGGTACATGGTGGCCATAAAGGGATGGACATGGTCAGAAACAATGCTCAGGTAGGCCGTGGCATTTAAACGATGCCCAATTGGCACTAAGGGGCCTAAAGTGTGCCAGGAAAACATCCCCCACACCATTACACCACCACCACCAGCCTGCACAGTGGTAACAAGGCATGATGGTTCCATGTTCTCATTCTGTTTACGCCAAATTCTGACTCTAACATCTGAATGTCTCAACAGAAATCGAGACTCATCAGACCAGGCAACATTTTTCCAGTCTTCAACTGTTCAATTTTGGTGAGCTCTTGCAAATTGTAGCCTCTTTTTCCTATTTGTAGTGGAGATGAGTGGTACCCGGTGGAGTCTTCTGCTGTTGTAGCCCATCCGCCTCAAGGTTGTGCGTGTTGTGGCTTCACAAATGCTTTGCTGCATACCTCGGTTGTAACAAGTGGTTATTTCAGTCACTGTTGCCCTTCTATCAGCTCGAACCAGTCTGGCCATTCTCCTCTGACCTCTGGCATCAACAAGGCATTTCCGCCCACAGAACTGCCGCTCACTGGATGTTTTTTCTTTTTCGGACCATTCTCTGTAAACCCTAGAGATGGTTGTGCGTGAAAATCCCAGTAGATTAGCAGTTTCTGAAATACTCAGACCAGCCCTTCTGGCACCAACAATCATGCCACGTTCAAAGTCACTCAAATCAACTTTCTTCCCCATACTGATGCTCGGTTTGAACTGCAGGAGATTGTCTTGACCATGTCTACATGCCTAAATGCACTGAGTTGCCGCCATGTGATTGGCTGCTTAGAAATTAAGTGTTAACGAGCAGTTGGACAGGTGTACCTAATAAAGTGGCCGGTGAGTGTATATATATACTTCCAAAACGTTCAGCGTGTAATTTGCCATTGGTCCACTCGATTAGCAGCATAAAAAACAATACTTGTGTATTCAATAGATTATAGCTATATAGCCTTGAACGCGCGAAAGAGCGCTCACTTTACAGTCACTAAAGCGGTCACTCATCTCAGTTCGAGATCTCATCACGTTCCATTAAAATCAATAAAGTTGTCTACACGCACTGCATACTGAATATCTTATTACATCGTGTTTTTGTATAGTTGCAAGAGTTGCAACTATATGGCAGCTGAGAATGCCATTCTTTGTGTTCTTTTTGAAGAATTTTCGGATCCTGATGAAATCGTAAATACGTGTTTAATACTGAAAAATACACTCGATGTTACAGTCACTGCCCTTGCTGTCCAGAATAAAAGAGAACATCCCAATTCGAGTGAAGGGATTTGTGGAAACTGTGGTTCCTAATTATTGTGATCCAACATTTGCCTCGCATTTCAGGATGAAAAGACAAACATTTCAGGTGAAGGATAATCCACTTCTTACCTCCGAGACTATGGTCTATTATTATTTTTATGGTGTGTATTAGGCTTACCATTATTGCTTATCACTGTTGATATGCTATATTTTTTACTATAAAACTCTTATGACAAACATGTCTTCTAATATCTTCAATTGTTGTGTATACCGAGCTGCAGCGGACATTTGTAAACGACTTTACTTGGACCAATTGTGCGAACTGTCTCTTTAATACCGCGTGGTTTATATACATGTTGCTGCTGATTGGGCTGACCGTTTCCAGGAAACATGTCGTTCAACCTGGAAACCGTAGCAAAACGCTGCGCGCCGGTTTGAGCTTGAACGTGCCCCAGAACTCTAAACTCCGGCGTTTGGAGTGGTGAGTGGATTCTAACTTAAACACCTCTGATTGGCCATTGCGTTCAAGAGATCAACAAACTACTCGGTTACTATCGTAACCTCAGTTCCCTGAGAGAGGGAACGAGTATTGCGTAGCTATACGCAGTGGGGGAAACTCCTTTTCCTCGATTTACTGAAGCTTATGTGTAAAACGCATTTGCAGCTGCACAGCTAGCACATTGAGCATCTGGCTCGCTCATAGGCTGTGCTGCGGAAACTGCACATCCAATGGCGCGGGCGCCTCTGACGTGCGACCAATGAGCTAGCCCTACGTCATTACACGTCAGAGCCCGCCAAGGGGGCGTGGCCTTAGCCTATAAAAGTCCCCCGAATTCGCCATTATAGGAGGTTTAACGACTGAAGCAACAACTCGCCAGGTTACTATAGTGCGGCCGGCTACGCAATAGGCTACTCGTTCCCTCTCTCAGGGAACTGAGGTTACGATAGTAACCGAGTAGTTCCCTTTCGAACGGTCACTTCGTATTGCGTAGCTATACTCAGTGGGGACGCCATGCAAAACGCTGCACTATAAGTAACTGGTTGCCACTGCAACTCAGGACCCTTGAGCTCACAGAACAAGCCAGAAAACCAATTATATATAACAGACTGGACACCGTCGGGTCTAGAATAATATATATATGTGTCAGTAACAAAACCAACATAATTCACTAATAAAGCCAGACACCGTCGAGATTATTAGTATAGGAAATATAACCGGCCAAAGCGGGTTTCATATATATATATGTGTGTGATTGTGCACAGTAACATATTTAGACATGACCATTCGCCTGCAGGGAAGGCACCTCCATATTAAAAAAACTTCATAAATGTTGAAGGCGAGGACCAGCCGGCCGCATCACAAATATCTTGAATGGGAAAGCCAGATGACCAAGCCCATAACGAAGCCATGCCTCTGGTCGAAATGGGCCTTCATACCTATGGGGCAAACCTGACCCACTGAGGTATAAGCCATAGAAATGGCATCCACTATCCATCTAGACAGTCTTTGCTTAGTGACTGGATCACCCATAGATCGGCCACCAAAGCAGACAAAAAGCTGTTCTGATTGTCTAAAAGACGCAGAATGCTCCAGATAGATTCTCAGCGCTCTGACAGGGTAGAGAAGATTAACCTCCCCATCCTCGGCAGAAGGGGGAAGGGCTAATAACGTAATAACCTGTGCTCTGAACGGCGTTGAGAGCACTTTGGGTACATAACCATGCCTGGGTTTGAGGATGACCCTGGAGTCATCTGGTCCAAACTCCAAACATGAAAGGCTCACTGAGAGGGCCTGCAGATCTGCCACTCGCTTGATAGATGCCAGTGCCAACAGGAGAGCAGTCTTTA